GATAGGTAAGACACCTATTAATTTAAGAACATTTACGATATGTTTCCATCTTGGGTGCCACTAAGCACACAAACAGCAACATCTACAATGATTTGATGGCACAAAAATGCACTTTGGTACGACGGCCTCATGAACATGGCAGAGTCGGCGTGGAAGGTTATTCATTAACCGTGATGCCGTAAAACTGTGTTGATGGTCCATAGTCGAGCTCCGTATTATTATTGTTGTGCTTTTCTGTGAATTATGTCACCAGAAGCGATTACTAAACTCTCTAAAGTAAAGGTTCCAACTGTTACTTCTGTGCCACCCCCCCCCCCGCCTTGCCCGACCGCAGACGATGTAGGAAGGTGATTACGGCTCTGCAGAGGTTGAGTTGTAGATGCATGCTGAACTTCTTTTGCACCGTACGTAGCCAACCGGCGTGAATCCACTGGATGGAAGTGAAGGAAAGTTACTGATATAGTTGTTTTTTGTTAATATTCAGCTCTGTGTTAAGCCACTGCTGAATGAAGGCCGCCCCCATGCCGTTGACGATCAGTCATGTAGGTTGCTTGACTATACTCTTAGTTCTTTCGGTAAAGTCACGTAGGTAAAAAATGAAATTAAAATTTATAAAAAATAAAACAATAAAGTCACGACGTTTCGGAGGCAACACAAGTATCCGTCATCAGGTGGGACCGTCACAGCCAGATTTGCTGCATCAAGTGAGGCAAGGATTCAAGATGCAACTTGTATTTAAGGGCTTGCATCTTGAATCCTTGCCTCACTTGATGCAGCAAATTTGGCTGTGACGGTCCCACCTGATGACGGAGACTTGTGTTGCCTCCGAAACGTCGTGATTTTATTGTTTTATTTTTATTAATTTTTATTTCATTTTTTACCTACATGGTGACTTTACCGAAAGAACTAAGAGTATGAATCCTTGCAGTCACGAAAGCTTCAAATCTACTGCTTGACTATACTTCACCACGCTGGTCAGCGCAGATCGGGGAAAGGGGTGTGCCGGAGCGCTGCAGATCTCGTTCATCACCGATGTCCTTCCCACGCACCTCCGATTAGTAAGTTCAACACACACACAGACACGAGTTGAGTCGTGGCCAGGACTCGAACTCAGGTGATGGGTTCACAGCACAGTGCGATGAGCTCTCCATCACCGACGGGACACGACGCCCTCCTAATTCCTTGTAATTCCACCACGAACTTCTCCCCATGAAATGTATTCCACGGGAATACCAACAGCCTCACTTCGTTCTAGATTTGAAGCTTTCGTGACTGCAAGGATTCATATTCTTAGGTTTTTTCGGTAAAGTCACGTAGGTAAATTTTTTTTATTTAAATTAATAAAAGTTAAATAAAAATAAAATAAAAATCACGTTTCGGAGGCAACACAAACTTCCGTCTTCAGGTGGAACCGTCACAGCACGCTTGCTACTTGATACAGCAAGCGTGCTGTGACGGTTCCACCTGAAGACGGAAGCTTGTGTTGCCTCCGAAACGTCGTTATTTTTATTTTACTTTTATTAATTAAAAAATTTTACCTATGTGACTTTACCAAAAAAACCTAAGAATATGAAGCCTTACTTCGCTCAACCACTGCTGTCAATCCGACCGTGAATTAAAAAAAAGCCAGACTCTTTCTCGAACGGTGATCCGAGAGCACATTTTAATAAAAAAGAAACTAGCACCAACGGATCGATATAGAACAGCATCGCAGCGGCTGGCTTTGCGCGACAGCGTCAAGTTAATATTGCATCGACAAACCCAGACTGTTTGGACTAAAAAATAAAGGGGGATTTCCAGAAATAGCCCTTGACAAGATTATCTCTGCAGGAGCCCCTATTTTGTTGTTGTATATTTTGATGCGTTACAGCCACCAATCTATAACAGATACACACATGGTACCACAGTCTATGGACAAAGATCCCCCGTGTAGCCTTAGCAGACTGTTGGGGCAAGCGCAGTTAGCAAGCACCTTTGAAGGCCGGCACGGCACAAGATTGGTTGCATGGCCAGCACCACGCACGGCCGCCTTTATCTCCTCAGTGACGATCTTTACACACCGCACCAGGTACTGATTTGAGGCTGAGTCAACCTGTGGGAGGCCCAGGACCGGTTTAGATAGTCGTCACTGGTGGTAGCCGTGAACGGGGATCAAATCCCTGGCGCAGTGCGCTAACACGCTCCACTACCACTCCCCGCAGTCGATAATCCATGCATACACACGCACACTTAACCACGTAACACAAGTCTACAGTCTATACACACTCATTTGACCACGTAGAAACGTTTTCTATATTCTACAGATATACACACAAACACCGCTGCCTGTGCTCGTCGCCAGGAGAGGGCGAGTTTAGAGCAACACAAGCTGAGCTTGCAGATTGCATGGTCAGTTTAACGCGTAGTAGTAGGAGGCTTTCACGACCAATATTATCCATAATAAAGTTTGTTTTTGGTTAGATGGCGTAAATATAAATGTGTTGTTTCACCCGCCACCACCCGACACAGCCAATTGGTAAGGTTTGTCACGTAAACAAAACGTGCCAATAAGGTACAACTTCGGAGAGTAAACCCACAATTCGAGTCCAACGTTTCGCTGGTGATTACAACCAGCTTCATCAGGCGATTAGCCAGAATTGTGAAGAAGTCCTCCTGTGTCGGTCTTAAATAGAGCGATGGTGTGCTCCACAACACTGCACACCCATAGCACTGTGTGCAATCACTGATGCTCGTCAAATTTGCGGGCAACTGAAGACGGAGCTTTGCTATTAATGTTGACGTTCATAGCAGGGATTCATCTTCTTGGTTCTTTCGGTAAAGTCACGTAGATAGATAAAAGATTAAACAAATTAAAAATTATATTTCGATTTAAAGCTTTCGTTACTGCAGGGATTCATCTTCTTGGTTCTTTCGGTAAAGTCACGTAGAAGGGAAATAATAAAATAATAACAATCTTAAACAATACAATTCTCACGACGTTTCGACTGCAACACAAGCAATACACAGCAAGAACATTTTCTTGCTGTGGATTTAACACCTGATGATGATTGCTTGTGTTGCAGTCGAAACGTCGTAAGAATTTTTTTGTTTTATATCATTTTTATTTTATTATTTCCCTTCTACGTGACTTTACCGAAAGAACCAAGAATATGAATCCCTGCAGTCACGAAAGCTTTAAATCAAAGTTCATAGCAGTATTACTGTTTTCATGATTATTTGCAGCGTAAGTGCAGGTAAAGTAACACTGCCAGCGTCTAGATGTTAATGAGTATGTAAGTACAAACTGCTACCGAAATAAACACTGAAACTAAAGACAAATTAGAGAGACATGCAGTACAATAAAGGATCTTGGGTTAAAATCCTGGGTTCGAATCCTGGTAGTAGTCGGTGAGATGTTAACTACCTCGCCAAGTATACGGGAGGTCGTGAGTTCGATCCCGACCCTGACGCCTGCTGATGTATATTTGGAGTTTGCGTGTCTCTCTCCCCGTGGTCGCGTGGATTTTTTTCCGAGTCCTCCGGTATTTCCCTCCACAATTCGAAACGTGTTTAGAGTGTTTGGCTGCTATTAATTTCCACGCGATAAGCCACTTCGTTGAGCTATCATTTGTGGCGAGGTCGCTGCCGAAGAAGAGCTGTCTAGCTCAGTGAGCCATACCTGGTTAAATAAAAAATAATTCATAGACTAATGGTCTGATGTAGATTATGTAGATGCTCACCCCGAGCCCTCATTACTTTGATATTGCATTGTCTTTGAGCTGTACGCCTTTTGGCGTCCTCTGGTCGAACACCAATTGGGTCGAGGCTCAAAAGAAAGCCGTCCCTTGGTGTGGACCAATCAGTTTCAAGGACAATGCACATATTATCATCGCGTGTCTTTTGTTTGCATTTGACTGCAGGTATTGTGGTTAATGCAAACATGAATCCTTGTTAAAAGGTTCCAGTTTTGTTGCCAGAAAAAAGGGGGAAAACGCTATTATTAGACTAATGGTCCTCAAGTGTATGAAGTGGTCGCCAGCATGGTGACCAATGGCTGCACAAAAACAATGATCGCATTTGGGTATCTGCTTAATTTCAGCCTGAAGAATGAAACAAATTAGTTTGACTGTCAATTCAAAGAACATTAACTCTCCGTAGCAGGGCGAGAGAGAGAGAAAGTGCTGACCCCTTTACTGTGTGGTCCAGAGGCCACGTGATTGGACCTCAGAAGTAGTTCCGTAACGTCCACGTCTACGGGTGTCGCTCTCCTACAAAAGAGTGATTGCAACACTGCTGTGCAAGAGTTCTGAATACATTTCCCCGTCTCACGACTGACATCAAAAGCATAACTACGATAACACGGGGGGGAGGGAGGAACACAGAAAAATATGAAAACGAAAAAAAAGGGCAATTATTATGCAAATCCACTGCTCGTGCACCCTGGCCCTTTGGCAATGAGCCACAGCATTTTAAAAAAATCAGCCCACCACTTGAATACAGCCCATCGTTTTGCTTCACGTAGGATTGAAATAAAAATAAACCATTGAGGGCTGCCAAGTGGGGAGGGGGGTGGGTTGCCCCCCCCCCCCCACCACCATAATAAAATAAACTGCGAAACAATAAAACAAATATTGTTAGTCACTTAACGTTGCACAATACAGTACTTGTGTTGAGACACAACGGGTTCTATTGGGTCACGGTTAGTCAACGCTTTGCAACCTTTGGGTGCATTTCATTGCATGTTATCAACTCATAAACCCTGTTTGCCATTAACTTTGACCAGAGGCAGCCTTTTGGTTTTAGGTAGAGGCCATCAGAGCCACTGTGGACCAAAACGGGGGCAGTGGCAGTCGTGTGTGTGGAGTGGCAGCGATGTGTTCTATCTATTGCCTGTTTCGACTGATGTTCTGTGTACCGTATGTTGAACTTCTTTCGCACCGTACGTAACCAACCGCGCTAATCGGAGGTGCGGGCGGGCGGGCGGGGCAACAAACTGAACACAAAAAGCAGTTCTAAACAAATGAGTTTTCAATCGAACTTTAAAAGTGGATAGTTCCAGTGGCTTCCTAATATTTGAAGGGAGAGCGTTCCAGACGGCCGCAGAAGCGCGATGCAGTGACCGTCTTTGTTCGACGGCTGGTCAAAAGCCGCTGGGACTTATTTCGCACCGTACACAGCCAACCGTGCCAATCGGAGGTGCGGGGGAAGGAACACAAACTGAAGACAAAGAGCAGTTCTAAAGAAAAGAGTTTTCCATCGAGATTTAAAAGCGCATAGCTCCAGTGGCTTCCTAATATCGGAAGGAAGAGCGTTCCAGACGGCCGCAGAAGCGCATCTGAAAGCACGCGATGCAGTGATCCATCTTTGTTCGATGGCTTATGGTTTTATGCTCCGTGACGAGATCAGTGCGGTATTGTGGTTCGTTTGTGGCAAGCACTTTGTAAGCAGGCTTGAGCCTGAATAGTGTGCGGATGGGTGAGCGCAATGCATAGCTGGTTACGGGGCTATGTGATGGGCAGCACAAGCAGCACAATCTGCTGTTGTGCTGTATTTCTATGCTCCCTACAACACTGGTCCCCACCGTCACGAACCCGCACTGACCCGCGTGGTGAAGTATGGTCAAATAACCCCTGCGACCCGCAGGGCGTGGGGAGGCCCTCATCCAGCAGTGGATTGATGAACGGCTCTACGTATGCATGTCTGCTGCCATTGGTCAGTTGTGAAAGAAGCACATCTTTTTTTTAACAATGGCAGTCCAGCTGGTAACCTTTGGCATGAATTACCCATGTGCTGTAAAGGGCGCACTTAAAACGTTGTTACTTCATTTTGGAAAGTCGAGTCCTGGAGTGTCAATGCCATGGCCTATGTGGCAATGTTAATGTGGCAATGGTAGTGATGACACAGAGCTAAAGAGCGTTCGGTAGTCGTAACCAACATTGTAATTCTTGCTTCGATTGTGAACTGACTTTCAAGGTCTCTTCTGCTGCAAGTAGGGATTTAAAAAAGACGTGGACGAAGAGCAGCAGAAACATTGACAACGGCCGATGATGATGATGATGTTGACGGTAGAGGCCGACCGAAACTGAATTTGTGGTTTCGGCCGAAATCGAAACCAGAACGAAAGTAAAAAATTTACTTTCGGCCGAAACCGAAAGTTAAAAATTAACTTTCGGCCGAAACCGAAAGTAAACTCAAAGTAAACTTTTTGGCTTCGGCTGAAACAGAAACTATGCCGGGAGAGACCATTTGCCAACTTTTTTTCGCCGAAACTGAATTTCGGTCGGCCTCTAATTATCAGACCATGGTTGCGGCTGTAACCTCGCTCCCAAGCTACTGCTGCTGCTGACGTGTCTGTGTGTTTGCAGCCTATCGCATAGGATTGCCTAGCGCCGACTGACCGGCCGATAGGCAGAGTGATAGACGTAGCACTAGCGTTATATTCTAAAAAATAGACCTTCGGTTGACGAGTGACGACCGAAAGTCAATATCAGTTTCGGCCGAAACCGAAACTATATACTTTCGTCTGAAACCCAAAGTATGCCGAAAGAGGCCATTTGCCAACTTTCGGCCTCTTGATTGACGGACAAATGTCACCCGCAAAAGCGTTGTACTTCGAAGTCACCTCACGGCGGCGCTTGCCTGCCATCTCGTTGTAAAAGTTTCGAATCCGTCGGTCCGCCCTGGTTATTGCTGCGGTTGCGTGGACCGTGAAACACACACGCGTGCGTGCGTGCGTGCGCGTCGTCTGCAATGCCTAGAATGTTAGAGACCCCCCACTCTGGCGTTATAATTAAAACGTGCAGGCCATTTGTGTGCCGGCGTCATGGGTTCATACTTTGCGAAATTTGGAAACCCCCTCGCCCCCCCCACATACACAAATTACTCGATTGGGATGACACAATTGCCACGTGGCCTCTGAATGTTTATAATTCGTGCAGTGTGAACAGCACCTTCGCGACACCCCTGCGCTATAAGAATGGCGCAATTAACTAAATGTACGAAATTATTATTATTAATCATTGTTATTAGTGTATTTAAAAAAAAAGAGTAAATATCGGGCTGGGAAACGTCTCCTGTCCATACTATGTGTGACAAACCCTGCTTGCAAGAGAGCTTATTGAATCTTCTTGGTTCTTTCGGTAAAGTCACGTAGAAGGGAAGTAATAAAATAATACAAATAAAACATAATAAAATAATTCTCACGACGTTTCGGCCACAACGCAAGTAGCCATCCTCAGGTGAAACCAGGTCTGTCGAGGCGACAGCGTCTGAATGAAACAGCACACGTGCTTGGAGCATATATATAAGCTGGGTTGGAAGGGGGGGGAAAGGGGCGCCTTGACAAAAGAATTTGCATATCAAGAGGAATCCAGCATACCCATGGGAAATGCAGGTATGTGATTAGTACTACTTGTGTAAGTGCATTATGCAGGATTAGCAGCATCCAAGGGAGGGGATATGGGAAATGCAGATATTGAATGTCTGGAGGCCGTCATCTTAGGCAAGGTCCGTGGGGTGGATTATCCGGGTTGCTGATTGACTGTGCTCGCGATAAAGGGTGGGAAACTCTACAAAGGAGCATGCTTTGCCAGTGGTTCTATCAGTAGCAACTCCAGACTTGTAACTCAGTGACTGATTGCAGTGTTTCAAGGAAGCTGTAAAACACAAATTGCACGTCTAAATATTCACCTCAAATCTCGTAAGCAATAAATATCTGTTTAATAGCAAATTAGCATTAGCGTGTTATCTGCGGGCTTTTTTTTCTGCTATCTGGGCTATCATTCCCCTCCCCCCCCCCCATATTTTCCTGTATAATCAAAAGCTGACTACGGTGTAATGGAAAATAAATACCTCCTCGCAGTCATGGAACAAAACATCACGATCGTGGTGATGGTGGTGGCGGGGGCCAACGTGCAATGGAATTTGTGCGCCTCCTCCTGGAAGAAGCCTTAAATTCGCCGTCGTTTTGTCGCGCTGTCAACGACACAACCAACTCACAACCACCATCACCACCACCAACAACCTCCAGCAGCTCCCACCACCACCACCGCCGTCGTCGTCGTCGTCACGGAATGCCCTCTCCGAAGACAATCGGCAGCAGAAGGAACAAATGGACACCTGCGGCGAGAGCTGCGGACATCAAACACCCGGCCACGATGTCAATCCCCAACCGAGGGTTTCGCACAGTGATCGACTTTCACTCGTCACTCGTACGTGTCGTGTCGACGGCTTACATAGTGACTCCTTTATCGCTCCACTGAGATTGATTTTTACTGGTAGGAATATCCTGGTTACACCAGCCCACAGGGGATTATTGTGTCCGTCCGTCCGTCCGTCGTGCAGGGAGGGGCTGGGTGGGAAGGGAGGGGCTGGGTGGGGAGGGGAGGGTGGGGAGGGGCTGGGTGGGGAGGGTGGGGCTGGGTGGGGGGTGGGAGGGGAGGGGCTGGGTGGGGACGGGCTGGTCACCCCGTGGTGCCCTTATAAAACTCAACGTTTCACCTACTCACGCCGGCTTGTGCCCGCCCTCACAGTCGGACATATTTGCGGAATACACCACGCCGCCGTTGACCCTGGCCATTGACCGAGCAACCCAACGTTCCTACCAGCTCCCTCCGCAGGAATGTGTTAAAAAAAAGTACAACCCACAATGCGTCGGTGAACGGGAGTCGTTTTACGGGACCTCATCAACGTTTGTCTGAGAGGCTTGGTGAAGGCGATAATAGGCCCTGGACCGGTGCAGATTGTCACTGGACGTTAGTCGTGGCCAGCAATCGAACTCAGCGTGCCCAGTTCATGACGCACTCGCTTTCCTGTTGAGCCACGGGCTTTGCCACACTCTGTAAATATATCCGCTATGTGAGGTTGACGGGATTGTAATTTGTGGTACGATTTTTTTTGTGTAAAATGTTTAATACAATACTTGACATCATGTGACCTCCTTTGCCAGTACCAAAATATGAGAATATGGTTTCCCCTTTTTTTTTGGCAACAAAACAGGTGTTAAGATGTAAAAACACCAAACTGAAACCTTTTTACAAGGAATCATGTCTGCATTAACCACAATGCTTGCGGCTAGAATGCAAACAAAAAACATACTGATAATATTGTCTTTGAAACTGATTGGTCAGCTTGATAGCTGTCTCTGGTGTGGACTAATCAGTTTCAAAGACAATGCATATATTATCAGTGTTTTTTGTTTGCATTCGGACCACAAGTATTGTGGTTAACGCAGACATGGTTCCTTGTAAAAGGTTTCAGTTTGATGTTTTAACATCTTAAAACCTGTTTTGTTGCCAGAAAAAAAGGGGAAACCTAATCTAATACCTGACATGTTGCTGATATATATTTGCTGTTCATGAAAAGGATCCCAGGTTGCATTACAATAAACACTGATAGCACTCATTGGCCAATCGATCCAGTGTGGCGCGATATTTGAAACATGCTAAGTTCTACAATACAGGTTTTGTTTGGGTTGGATCGCATAAATATAGATGTGTCGTGAAACCCACCACCACCCGACACAGCCAATTAGTAAGGTTTCTCACGTAAACAGAACGTGCCAATTCGTTACTCGTACAGCACACCGGCGTGTTGGAGAGTAAATCCACAACATTTACAATCTGAGTACGACGTTTCGCCAGTAATTACAACCGGCATCATCAGGCGGCAGCCATATGCTATGCTCTACGGCTCTGTACAGAAATCCGATTACGAAAGCATCATTAAAATATATATTTTTGAATTTAAAAAATGTGAGATTACTTCAGAGCAATAGAGAATACTTCTGGAAGATGCACATCGCTTATCGATGTGGAAGGACATTTTTTTTATCAAATAGGATAATATATTAAATAGTTATTAACCAAAGCTCACCGTTGGGACCGCAGGTACACGCTCCCGCCTTGTTTTCTGCACAAACAGGAAGAGGGTGGCCATCAACATCAGTAGTTGATCAGAATGGATCAGAGGTCGCAAACGGGTTTTGATTCCTTACCCGTACCCGTACCCGGCCGCACCAGGGTCGCAAACGGGTACCCGTGCCCGGCCGGGTACGGGTAGCCGGGTATCGGGTAGGGTACGGGTATCGAGTACCCGGTTGCGACCTCTGGAATGGATATACGCAAAAAATATTATTTGGTATATTCGCTTATTCTGAAACGTCTGCGTGCGTTCGTCAAAACGTCAAGGCAGCTTTTTTTTGTCTGAAGCGGATGGAGAGGAGGAAAGAATGTACTACGAGTTGAGAGTACAAAGAATGCACTCTCAACTCGTCTGCTTACGCGTGACCTCTGTCAACGTACTTTGTGAATTGTGGGAATCATAATAATCATATTAATATTGCCCTTTACATCTCCAGGAACACCTCACTGAAGCCTTCGGGGGCGATCAGGGCCTGCACTTTGCTAAAATCTCTGCAAAGTCCACTCAGCCTAAAATGACAAATTGGTGTGATGTGTGTATTATGTATTTTGAACTTCCTTAGCACCGTATGTAGCCAGCCGAAGGTGATGGGGTCAGTAGCAGCTCTGAGCTCAGGAGAGCAGCCGGACATTTAACCCGCCTACACGCCCATACTGGACATCTGTAGGCAAGAACTTCATAGCTCATCGGATTCCTCCAGTCTAAGTCAATATTCTGATTCTAGATTTGAAGCTTTCGTGACTGCAAGGATTCATATTCTTAGGTTTTTTTCGGTAAAGTCACGTAGGTAAAAAATTTAAATTAATAAAAGTAAAATAAAACTAAAATAAAAAATCACGACGTTTCGGAGGCAACACAAGCTTCCGTCTTCCAGCTTCCGTCTTCCACCTGAAGACGGAAGCTTGTGTTGCCTCCGAAACGTCGTGATTTTTATTTATTTTTAATTTTATTTACTTTTATTAATTTTAATTTTTTACCTACGTGACTTTACCGAAAAAACCTAAGAATAACAATATTCTGATGTTACTCAAGGCCTCCCTGTGTGTCAACAATGGCCCTGGTGTTGTCCATGAGAACACGAGGCAACACTCTGTAAAGGCTGGACATGAATGTCGCTATATGTAAAATGAAAGTATTATTATTACATGGTTGGGAAGGGGTCAGGAATAGGGGGGCATTGCACCCTCCCACCTCACCCCCCTTGGCAGTTCCGTGTCTTTAGTTTGCGGGGAGCGGTAATGTGACGGTTAGAGATACTGCGCTACCAACCCTGGCAACCGGAGTTGAATTCCTGGCCACGGAGAGCATCGGTGACAACTATTTGCACGGGTCTAGGCGAATTCTACAGCTCGACTCGGCCTTAAAATGAGTACTTGGTGCGGTGTAAAAAAAAACATCGGCACTGGGTAAATAAAGATTGCCACACTTGGCCTGCGTGTGCCGTGCCGCTAAACGGTTCTTTCCCAAACAGCCTGCGTAAGCTAAGAGGGTTTTTTTGTGAAGGTTGTTGTTGTTGTCTTATTGCGTGTGGAGGGTGCAACTTACGTTTAAGTTGGAACTCCTGCGTGAGTGTGCCCATGTTGTCCTCCGCGGTTTCAATCCTCATTTGCCGAGAGGAGCATGAACTCTGCGGTGCAGAGAGAGAGAGACGACCGCGGGTCAATCGGACCTCAGCAGATGCATGGAACACAGATTTGGAGGCTGCAGCCTCGGCTGACGGTTTTTCCCAATCGAAAACGATCTTCCGAGCAAACTTTATGCATGTATGCATGTTGAACGTCATTCGCACCGCACGTAGCCAGCCACGCTAATCGGAGGTGCGGGGGAAGGACACCAAACTAAACAAAAAACGAAGTTCTAAAGGAATAAGTTTGCAATCTAGATTATTTTAAAGTGGCTTCATAATATCGGAAAGAAGAGCGTTCCAGACGACCGCAGAAGCGCATCTGAAAGTGCTGCGATGGAGTGACCGTCTTTGTTCGATGACCAGGCCATGACCAGGCCAAAGCCGCTGCTGCGAGGATGACCGGAGCTCGCGTGATGGTTGCTGCTCTTTGACAAGACCAGCGAGGTATTGTGCGCAGTGTGTAACAAAGATAAAGCTGCAGCCCTGCAATTTCTCGGCCACGCCACTTCTGGCAGAAGATCCTCCACGAGGGGCAGCTCTAGAGAGACACAGTGGTGGCCAACTGGCATCTCGCGAGCCGCATGCGGCTTCTTAATCTACCACATGCGGCTCTATCGAAGGGACGTCACGTAGAACGCACGATCACAGTAGCAGAGAATAACGAATGTCTCCTGTGCTGTGCTGAAAACTGTTAAAATACATCTACTCATATACATATATACAGTGCCGGATTATCCTAGTAGCAAAAGTAGCTACATATACGACGGGCCCCGCACTTTCAAGGGTCCCGCGCTAATGCTTTCAAGCTATCAATTCCGGTTCAGTGATTCTGCACTTGCTCTATTACTATAGTACTATACTGCCTTCAACGTTTATGAACGACTCGGTGTTTAAGGTTAGCGATTTGTCGTATTATCTGGATGTATAGCAAATGAAACAATGTAATTACTTTTCTTTTTTCTATGCAAGTTAAAAATGTGTGTTTTAATATTTACGTGTTTTTTATATTTAGAGCACCTTTATAACAAATGCTACAGGCCCCACACTAGCTTAATCCGACACTCCATATATACTTGGCTCTTTACAGAACTCAAGGGTACTTTTTGGCTCTTGGCCACCCCTTGCTCTTAGACGGTATATTTGGCCTACTCTTCCACGCTCAGCCAAACCGTTTGGATGGGATGGGAGGACCCACACTTTACCCAGCGACGCGAGACACGCCGGTCGACTATCTGCGGTGGCCACGTTTATACATAGCGGCGCACGAGCCCGACCGAGCACTGCGACCGCCAAGAAGTTAAAACATAATAATTACTGTCGAAAAAGAGTGCAAAAAAAAACCTTTGTGATTTACGACTGCGCGTAGATTTGCAGTCAAGGCGGATTCAGTGACCGCAGGTTAAGATATAAAATTGTTTTCCACCGCAAGCAGTAGAATTTCTACTTATCCCCCAGAGGCGGCATGTGAAAGCATTCTTTGAGAGGGGAAGTGTTGCCAAAATATATAATATAAGGAAAGTAAATAACGAAATCTAAAACGAGGAAGTGTAAGTTTTTGCACGTGTTGGACTGAACCGTGACGGCCGGGTCAGTCTGCCACCTGCTCCGCAAATCGTTGACCTCACGCCCTCTCGCTTTTGGACATTGTCGAAATGAACAAAATTGCGCGCGTTCACAGATTGGCTCGGTCTGCGGCCAACGATGGTTGGCGTGACAGGGACAGCGGTTGGCTTGGCACTGGTCAGGTCCCAAGCGGTTGACGCGACAGCGGTCGGAGCGACAGAGGTCGGCGTGACACCGGTTGACGCTACAGTGGTATGAACGACGGGGGTTGGCACGCGGCGGTTGGCGCAACAGGCGTTGACGTGTCACTGGTTGGCGTGACAGCGGTTGGCATGACAGCGGTTGGCGTGACAGCGGTTGGCGTGACAGCGGTTGGTGTGACAGCGGTTGGCGTGACAGCGGTTGGCGTGACACTGGTTGGCGTGACAGCGGTTGGCGTGACAGCGGTTGGCGTGACAGCGGTTGGCGTGACACTGGTTGGCGTGACACTGGTTGGCGTGACAGCGGTTGGTGTGACAGCGGTTGGCGTGACAGCGGTTGGCGTGACACTGGTTGGCGTGACAGCGATTGGCGTGACAGCGGTTGACGTAACAGCGGTTGACGTGACAGCGGTTGACGTGACACTGGTTGACGTGACACTGGTTGGCGTGACAGCGGTTGACGTGACAGCGGTTGACGTGACACTGGTTGACGTGACACTGGTTGATGTGACAGCGGTTGATGTGACACTGGTTGGCGTGACAGCGGTTGGCGTGACAGCGGTTGCCGTGACAGCGGTTGGCGCGCGGCAGTCGGGAGTGGAGCAGGAGATGTCGTTGGCCACGTGGCCGTGGGGCTGTGATGAGGCCCTCTCGTGTCGCCGGTGGGCCTTGCCTTGGAGCACGCGGTGCGGTGGCTGTCGCAGAGGCGCACTTCGCAGTGCAGCCACACGCGTGACGTGCCGCTCACGTCGCGGAAGCGGAACGAGCTGAACTGGAACGTCGACTTCTGCGAGTGTCCGTTCTCGAAGATCACCACGGTGTTGTCGCTGGGACATCTGTGCGCAGGGCAAGACTTGTGGTTTACGGGGTGCGCGGGTTTTTTTTTAAGAGCCGCCTAGAATAACCGTGTTTTTTTTCACGTGAAGTTACGCAACTCTGACACGTAAACACGTGCCCCCGAACAAATGATGATGGAGTTCTTTTAAATTAGTGAAACATTCGTGACGAATAAAACATTCATAAATAACCTCTCAACGATTTAAAGCTTTCATGACTGCAGGGATTCATATTCTTGGTTCTTTCGGTAAAGTCACGTAGAAGGGAAATAATAAAATAATATAAATATAACAAGCAATTATCATCAGGTGTGAAATCCACAGCAAGAGGCTACTTCGATGGGCTGTGGATTTCACACCTGATGATGATTGCTTGTGTTGCAGTCGAAACGTCGTAATAATTTTGATTGTTTTATATGTATATTATTTTATTATTTCCCTTCTATGTGACTTTACCGAAAGAACCAAGAATATGAACCTCTCAACGCACATGTTTTTTGAACGACACTAAACTATTGTATTAAGCCAGGTAAAGCCCACTGAGCTATGAACTATTTTACAGAGGCCGACCAGGCCACACGTGGCAGCTCATCGAAGTGGCCGATATCACACACGTGGGAATTTATAGAAGAAGCCAAATAACCTAAACGCACCTTTCTAAACGCGGCGGGGAAAAAAACCGGAGGACCAGGAGAACAATTCACACGACCACGTGGAAAGAGACACCGCAAGCTCCAAATACACGTGCGTCAGGGTCAAGGGATCGACCCCGCGACCTCCTGTACACGAGGAGAGGTAGTTAACATCTCGCCACCGTCGTCGCCCCGTGCACCAACGTGGCAGAGAGCCGCTTGAAGACGCCCCAAGTGGTGAGGACGAAGCTTGCGACTGAGACGAGCGGTTGGCATCGACTCACTCTGCGTGGATGAGCGACAGGCTCATGCTGCCGTTGCTGTTGGTGGAAGGGGTGGCCCAGCACTTTGAGATCACGATCTTGAATCTGCCAAAGACACATCCCGTTGTCAGGACCACGGAGGAACTAGTCTCGGGACTAAGGGGGGCGGTGGAGGGGGACGATCGTAGTGGCTGACCAGGGGTGCCGACGATGCAACTATTGATGACGACAATGTACGGGGCAGCGGAAGAGACACAAAAGTCAACATCGACGCGGAGAACCAAGAGAGACAGAAAAATAAAGAGAGAAGTTGGAGGAAGCCCCCCCCCTCCCACCCCATTGGTGTTGCGGCTGCCTGCACCCCCCCCCCCCCCCCCCACCACCGATATTGTTTAAAGCCACCAGCAGCCACTGTTCGCTTTGAGCTCATCCCGGCAGCGTCCTTCACTCGTTATCCAAGGTGAGCCGACAAGACATCGTCAGTGTGCGAGGTCCGCCGCACATTTTAAACAATTATTGGGCATGACGGCACAATGATGACGGCGGGGGGGGGGGAGGGGGGCGTTTTCACTCTTCGTGCATTGTGCGGGGCCACACTAAAGGCCACCCAAAGACCGCCCGTGGCCACGCGATCCTTGCAACGATGAACGCCGCATTGCAGCGACGCAGTCGGCCACGGTACACCCCTATCAGGAGCCCCTGGCCGCACCACCTCGCCTCACCCCGCCCTTGCCACGGTAGTGCCAAGACACAGAGGCCAACCATCACCACCGCTCCCCCCCCCCCCTGTTGGCGAATCGGCGTAGGGGCTCCTCTCACGCGTTGGTATTCAACACAGGAGGCAACCTTCCCTCCCTGTGCGTGCGTTCATCTGTGGCCTCGGTGGGGACGGGTGGGGAGGGGGTGGGGGAGCCACATCTCAGCAGAGCGACCGGGAGAAGGCAATAGGCTCGGCTTGGCCGTGCGAGGAGGAGGAGGCTGCTGCCTCGGGCTAGCGAGGGTTTCCCGCACCGGCGGCTCAGCCCCTTGGCTTCGATGCCGATGAAGACGATGGAGCCGATGTCCGAGGCGTCGACGATGAACGGAGCCGGCTTCAGCACCGAGAACTTGGAGTTCTGCGCACGCACGCACGCACACACGCGCACACACACGCACGCGCACACACACGCGCACACGCACGCACACACACACACGCACGCACACGCACGCACACACACGCACACACGCACGCACGCACGCACACACGCACGCCGCACGCAAACACACACAATCGACACACGCCACGCACCACCTCACACCGCAAACAACACACGCACGCACACATATACACACGCACACACACGCACACACGCGCACACACACGCAGACACGCACGTAAACCGGAGCCTTCATTCTCGTGCCACGAGACTTTTCCATTAACGTGGCTGTGTTATTTTTTGATGGAAATGACACACTCGTGAAAATACGCTACTGGGGCTATCTTACGGAGTGTACGAACGTAATAAATACGTTAGAAAGGAGATAAGCGGACAACGCGCCTCCTCCATACGTCTCGTTTCTCCACGTGACACTAAAAATAAAAGTATTATGTACACAGCCCATCGAGCCACACGGCCTTCTGGGAGCGAATGACTTCAGCAGCATTGATTCAGTGCAAGCAACTCCGAGTGGATCATCAGCAGAGTCAAGCTTGCTTGAACCAATGCTGGTGAACGCTGGTGAACTGACATGCTGGTGAGCTAAACGCTGTTAAAGGGCCGTTTCTTTAGGATATAGGAATGCGATCGTATTTCTACTGTAACGTTTCAAGCGTTTTACCTTACGGTGTTAAAGAAAAACGGTCACGTCATTGTTTGAAATGCGGTACACACGCAAACCATGCAAATGAGCGACTCAATTGACAGCACACCTCGATTCATTATCGTCAGTGCCCTTACAAAATGACAATCAATTTCCATTTTTAAATTAAAGGGGCTTCATTAACCCAACAATCAAAACGATGCAGGGAACCACAAAACACGATAGCCACCGCAGCCTCATGCATTGGCCTCAAAATTCGCGGTCATAGCGTCAAAGTTTTCCGAACCTCGATTATCCGAACGCGTCCGTTATCCGTAGGACCCTTAAGGAAAAAGAGAGTGGAAAAAAAGAAGGAAAGAAGAGAAAAATAAACGAAATGTGAGCGACGCTGTTCACTCCGCGGTGCAGAAATTCGTAAACACACAGCAGGGACCACGTGGAGTGCACGCGTCTCGTACACCGACAAGAAATCTAAGTTTGCAATCAGATAATCGAGGTTCTAACTAGAGAGTGACTTTAAACTTCACGGCGTTTTAACCCGCTGCACGTTTAAGAAGCTCAGCACACACAACGACGAAGTAGTTTGTGAATATTCTACGTGAAACAATCCATTGTTTTGTACGAGCGCAGTATGAACGTGTGGTGTGGCAGACTTTATGGTAAGACAAATATCGGAAGCAATTGGTATGTGGCAGTGACTTGTTCAATTGCCTGAATAATACATTTGCAGTGGAATCCCATTATCACAGTGGACAGATGTACTGGCCCAACGTCCCATTATAGGGCCCATATCACGCTTTTTGGAGAATGTCTATTTTTTTGGGGCCTCTAAATTTGTATGAATATTTTACCAGGTAAGGCCCAATGAGCTTCATAGTTCTTTATCGGAAAGCGACCTGGCCACAAAGGACAGCTCTATGAAGTGGGCTTATCGTCGTGTGGAAATATATAGCAGCGACATACTCTAAACGCGTGATGTCGATTCTAAATGTGGAGGGGAAAACTGTAATTCGCGCTGAAAAATCCACGCGATCACGGGGAGAACACGCAAACTCCAAATATGCAGGCGTCAAGGTCGGGGTTGAACCCACGACCTCCCGTATACCAGGCGAGGGAGGCAACTTATCGCCACTGTGGCACCCCGATACCATAAAGGCTGCCAGAGTGCGTGTGCACGTGCAGACACTCACAGAAAAGATGTTCATAGACAGCTGACTCTCAAAGGATCCCCAGCTGCCGTTCTTGACGAATATTGTGGCAACGCTGCAAACGACAGAGGATCGCGTGGCAGTGTGAGCGTGGGTTACAGTCGGTGGCATGGCTCATCAAAGTGCGCAGGCGGTGCAACTGCGCCGTGGACCACGGGCCAGAAGGGCCCATATCCTTAAGCTCAATGGAATTGAACAGAGGGCCCCCCCATTTCATTCCTTGTTCCAGGGCCGGTGTCAACTGAGCTGCATTAGCGTCCGGTAGCCGAACGAGTAAATCATGAGATCCCACTCATTACACACAAAGTGCTCGCCGATCGTCAAGGAGCATGAACCATCACGCGAACACCGGTCATCCTCACAGCGGCTTTTGGCTGCGAACCATTGAACAGAGACGGTCACTGAATTGTGCATTTTCAGATGCATTTCCGCGGCCGTCTGGAACGCTCTTCCTTCAGATATTAGGAAGCTGGTGGAGCTATGTACTTTTAAATCATCGAGATTGAAAACTAATTTCTGTAGAACTGCTTTTTGTGTTCAGTTTGTTGTCCTCCCCCGCACCTCATATTAGCACGGTTGGCTACATACGGTGCGAAAGAAGTTCAACATGAATACAACCAACCTGCACCAATGGTTAGAGTTAACAGGCAATGAAAAATGAAACATCAACTGAAATAAAATGTCTTTCTGGGTCCATGCAGACAACTGAACGTAGTGTTTCTGAGTCCACGTGTCAATGTCACACACTGATCCTCCAACGTGCCAGCAAGAGTTGGCCCCACTGTGCTAAATCTACTGAGGCTCTGACCTCAGCCTCATCATCGTCATTGAAACACCTACATTACGCTTTACACTGTCCAGGTGGATTGGTGGCGCAGTGGTCCGCAACACTGCGCTACAATATCCCGCGAACCTGAATTGGTTTTCGCAGCTCACATCGGTGTAGAGTCATATCTGAGCCAGTCCCAATCCCCTCGCTCTCCTTCATCAACCAGCACTGACTGGTGTGGCGGAGAATGGTCAAAGAATCGCCCACGACCGACGCGGCACGAGGAGGGCTTTCAACCAGCGACAGCCTGACAAAGGAGTTTACACCATTGGAACCTCATTTGCCAGTAAAAATATGATAATTGGTTTTTTACCCTTCTATCTGGCAACAAAACTGACACCCTTTTTACAAGGATGATGCCAAAAGGCGTCATCTGGTCCAACCCATGTGAGACTAGGCTCTAAGGAAAGCTGTCTCGGGTGTGGACCAATCAACTTCAAGGACAGTGCACATTATCAGAGGTATGTTTTTTGTTTTCATTATGACTGCAGGTATTGTGGTCTATGTAAACATGACTCCTTGTAAAAAAAGGTGTCAGTTTTGTTGCCAGATAGAAGGGTAAAAAAACAATTATGACAAAGGAGTGTTCATTATTATTTGAAAACATTTCTACACATTCGCATTCTCGTCTCAGAGAGCACAGCATGGACATACTAACTTTTTTTTCGTATTTTACCAGGTGAGGCCCACTGAGCACTATAGCTCTTTTTCAAAATCGACCTCGCCACAAATGATAGCTCAACGAAATGGCTTATCACGTGGAAACGTATCGCAGCCAAATACTCTCAAACGCGCGTCGATTCTAAATGTGGAGGGAAAAACCGGAGGCCCCTTTAGAAAAGTGAACATCTCGCCACCGCGGCGTAACCAGCGCAGCGGCGGCGTGACCAGCCATGAGCCCGGACGTGGGGCATTCCTTGCCTCTGGTCGAAGGCGGCCGTCTCCATGGTGTAGCGAGCCTTGTAGCTGCAGCTGAACGTGTAGTTGACGGGCTGGAAGCGCACGCCAGCACCCTGGTCTCTGGACGTGATCCAGTTCGTGAAGACGTAGGTCGGCGTGCCGTGCTGGTTCACCAGCTGAGCGGGGAGCACACGAGCACTCCTCGTGAGACAACACGGAGCGAAATGAATTGGAACGAATGGCAGAAGGGCGCGGTGGTCATCCTTCCCTTCCTTCTGCCAGATCGCTCAGTCGACACCTGGGTTTCAACGTTTCCCACCGTGTGACGTGAGCTTAGGTGAGGCCAGGGGCCGCGTGCGGCTGCTTCGTGACGTTGTTGATGAAGGACCACTGTCTCGTAGACACGTGCGTCGCGGCTCTTGAAATATTGAGTTTGTTTTACCCAATTAGAAAATAATGCCTATTTTGTCATTTTAGTTTACGTTCCCTGGGTTAGGCCACCCCTCTCAGTCACTGACCTCTGGAGTACCACGCCAATAAACACCTGTCGATGTAACCTGCCCTCCTCCATCCTCCATTGACGCACCACCCATCAACAAACACCTTTGGCCTGCAACGCTTTCTTGCCACATTCTAAGCTGCACTTCCAAGTTCCTTTACCCTATCACACCAATAGATTCCCAGCGTTCCTCGGCTGGCAATTAGTTTCTGCCCTGACCAGAAACGTAGTTACTACATTATCAGCTCAGAAGGTGCGGAAATCGGTCTGGTTGTGCCCCCCCCAATATTTTATTTGTCTCGCACGGTCGTACCCAGGCTATTGTATATCGCCGCCTCCTCTTGCCTGATCACATCGTCATGCTCACGGTCTCGAACATTTAACGCTGTAGGGGTGCCTTGTCTTCGCAAAAATGCAGCCACTACGACTGCATTTCGTACCTCTTTGCAATATTACTTTACTCCTCTATTTAAGTAACAATAAAAACGTGGAACTTAAATTAAATCATTTTGATCAAAATAATTTATTGCTCTTTTACACAAGTTGTTCTTTATTAATTTGAAGCTTTCGTGACTGCATGAATCTATACTCTTTGGTTCTTTCGGTAAAGTCACGTAGGTAGAAAAATAAAATAAAACAATAAATAATACATCACGAAGTTTCGATCGCAACTCGCCGGTTCAGCAGTCCCACTGCTGGATGATCTATTTCCGCCTGAGGACGACCGCTTGTGTTGCGATCGAAACGTTGTGATCTATTATTTTTTGTTTTATTTAATTTTTCTACCTACGTGACTTTACCGAAAGAACCAAAGAGTACAAGTTGTTATTTTACACTGTTGTTGGAAAGATATCTCACTGTGGTTCTCAAGGGGGGCCCCCCAACTCGTAGCTCTGGCCCCAAGGGGGGGGGGCAAGGGGGAGGGGCGGGCAGCGGGGGGGGGGGATCAAGCCACCCCCCTGCCCCCCCCCCCACGCTAAGTCAGGCTACTGGCCCTGACCAGTGAGCGGAGTGTGCCGAGCGAGCGAGCGGGCGGGCGGGCGTGGACCTGCGTCTGGGTGCCGCAGTAGCTGAAGTCGCTGGGAGTGAGGTCGGGGATGACGAACTTGTAGAAGCCCTGGTTGCTGACCCCGTTGACGCAAACTCCGCCCAGCAGCAGCGTCTCGAGCGTCCAGCCGAAGGGGCACTCGAGCACGGTCGCCGTGATGGTGTTCGGGAAGCACGACACCCACACGTAGTCTGCCACGTGGGGAGGTTGGGCAGGGGGTGGGGGGAGGTAGGGAGCAGTTTCAAATTCATCTTCTTGGTTCTTTCGGTAAAGTCACGTAGAAGGGAAGTAATAAAATAATAAAAATAAAACATAATAAAATAATTCTCACGACGTTTCGGCCACAACACAAGCAGCCGTCCTCAGACGCTGTCTCCCCGACAGACCTGGTCTTCACCTGAGGACGGCTGCTTGCGTTGTGGCCGAAACGTCGTGAGATTTATTTTATTATATTTTATTTTTATTATTTTATTACGTCCCTTCTACGTGACGACTTTACCGAAAGAACCAAGAAGATGAATCCCTGCAGTCACGAAAGCTTTAAATCGAAATTGACAGTTTCAAATTCTTAGGTTTTTTCGGTAAAGTCACGTAGGTAAAAACATTCAAATGAATAATAAATTAATTAATAAACGTAAAATAACAGCGTGCTTCAGCTGCACCGAACCTCACAAAAAATAATTCAGGGCCTACCTTGGCTCCTCCCACCCTCAACCACTATATATACAAGGACTGGTTTCTTGGAATTTGTCTCACTTGATACAGCTATCGTGCTGTGACGGTTCCACCTGAAGACGGAAGCGTGTGTTGCCTCCGAAACGTCGTGATTTTTATTTTATTTTAATTTTACTTTTATTAATTTTTATTTTTTACCTACGTGACTTTACCGTAAAAACCTAAGAATATGAATCCTTGCAGTCACGAAAGCTTCAAATCTAGAAGCAGTTTCAAACCCAGTGTACATGTGAAATGGCGACTTGACACACTGTCTCTTGAGATTGGCGTCCTCTGGTCTAACACCGTTTTGAGACGAGGCTCAAAAGAAAGCTGTCTCTGGTGTGGACCTATCAGTTTAAAAGACAATGCATATGTTATCAGAGTACGTTTTTTTGTTTGCATTCTGACCACAAGTATTGTCGTTAACGCAGAGATGATTCCTTGTAAAAGGTTTCAGTTTGGTGTTTTAACATCTTAACACCTGTTTTGTTGCCAGAAAAAATGGGGGAAACCTATTCTCATGCTCTGACAGTATATGTACGCGTTGTCTTCGAAATGGATTGGCCTACACCAGAGACACCCTTTAAACTAATTTCAGACGCCAAACAGAATGGTTTATTTTGCTGCACAAGAAACAGCAACAGCCCTTTTGACAAACCACTGTTGTACTCGTGCAGACATTGGGGGTTGTTTCACCGTATTTCACCGCGCCGATCAGGTGAGTGGCAGCCGTATAATTATAAACGTGTAAGTAGAGCACAAACAATGGATTTCACTGCACCGATGCTGCTGAAATAGTAGCAGCGACGCAGCCCATAACACCTGGAAAAGACACGGTGGTCACCCACTCAACCCCCCTTAACTCACCCATTCAGCCCTCCAGCCTCAGATCTGATTACGAAACCAGATGAGCGCGTGCTCTTTCCGGAAGACTTGTCCACAGGCTTAAGATGTGAATGAATTTTCTCTGAAACGTAACTCTTGATGGGAACACTCTTGACATGGACCTGATCCTGCCTGTGGCCAGTAGAGGGCGCGCGTCATCAGTTGCGGTGCATAATCAACTACAAAGTGTGATGACTCACGGTACAAACGCTTCGTATAATTGACCAATAAACCCGATTATTATAATTTTAAAAAACGCGACTATACCAGCGCACATTTATATTTGTATTAGCTTCATTACCTAAACGTGAGAACAAAACTGAATTAAAGATTAGACTTTTTGGCCCACTGGAATCCCTAAACTTCCGAATACATGATGCTGTGTATATAGTACCGTACCATATGTACCTACAATTAGAGATCGTTAATATAGGGTGGCATTTACCTGCCTGGTACATTTTCTGACTGAATGCCCACACACCCTACATCCACGAATTCCCACCTGTATATATATATATATCTTTAGAAACCCATATATAACGTTTTACACAGCTAATTCATGGGTACATTATACCATTTTAATGATGTTCGGGAAGGGCGGCTAAACTTAAGATTTGCACAGCATCTATGACGATAATCGACTAAAATATAAAGAGTACAAAACTCATCAATTTCGGGTCGTCCAACATTTCGGAACAGTTGATGACTATATATTTGTTTAAACTTATACCTAAACAAGTTTGCATCTTGATGTTTTGAAGGGCGGTGAACTCTAACACTAAGTCCGATATTCAATCACCAAGGAGTATGACGCTAAAGCCGAGAGAACGCCTGCTACCCATTCCCCAGCCCGTTGACTCTGTAAAACCGAGGCGTCCTCTGACTCCGTAAAGTGGGGGTTGTTTGCACATCCGATTAGCACGGTTGGCTACGTACGGCGCGAAAGAAGTTCACCACAATACATACATACAAGTGGCGTCCGTGGTTGGCAGAGGTCCTGGTACTATTAATACAATTGGGGGGGGGAGGTTAGTCCCTCTTAAATTACAGCGCCTTCAGAGTCACTTCAGCCCGCGGGACCCGGTGCAGTTGCATCGCCTGCGCACTCCAAGCTAACGCCGCAGCACCTCCATCCTCCGTCGAAGTCGTGTCGCGAGCCACGTTACCGGTGTTCAACGCCGGGAGGGATCGACAGCAGCAGAGGGGGGGGGGGGGGTTGAATAAAACACGACCAACAAATCCCCGACACTGGAAAAAACGCCGCGTTGGAGGCTTTACACCCAAGACGGAGGGGTGAATTAGTGATGATCAGAGCAGCCAAGCGCCACGGCGTGTGGCTCTTTCCACTGACCCCACCCGCATCCACCGCTCCGAGTCACCGCGCGAGTAGGTTAAAGGGTCAGACACGAGGTGAGTGGGTGACAGGGTGAGTGAGCGACAGGGTGATTGGGTGAGTGACGGGGGCCGAGCGGCTGAAAGGGTGAGATTGCGAGTGAGTGGATGAGAGGGTGAGCGGGTGAAGGCGTGAGTGAGTGGGTGAGAGAATGAATGGGCGAGTGGGTTAGATGGTGGGTGAATGCGTGAGTGAGTGAGTGGGTGAGAGACTGAATGGGCGAGTGGGTTAGATGGTGGGTGAATGCGTGAGTGAGTGAGTGAGAATGAGTAACCAGGATAGAATTGAGTGAGTGAGTGAGTGGCCGAGGGACTGAGTGAGTTGAGTGACAGGGTGAGTGGGTGATGAAGCGTGTGTGTAAGTGGATGATCTCCAAGGAGGTGAGAGTGTGCGCGTGTGTAGCGGTGAGCGCGATCCACGGCGACCCCAGTTCGATTCCCGTTCACGGCCAACATCGGTGACGCTTATCTGAACCGGTGCTGGGCCTCCCCTAGGTCGACTCGGCCTCAAATGAATACCTTGTGCGGTGTGTGAACATCGTCACTGGGGAGACAAAGGCGGCCGGGCATGGTCCTGACCCCCCCCCCCCCCCTCGTGTGCCGTGCGGGCCTTCATAGGTGCTCGCTAACAGCACTTGCCACGACAGTTTGTTACAGGCTGAATTTGTGAAGGAGTGTGTGGATGACTGTTGACGCCGATCGAAATTCGGTTTCGGCGCCAAAAGTTGGCAAATGGCCTCTTTCGGCATACTTTCAGTTTCGGCCGAAAGTCAATTTTTAACTTTCGGTCTGGTTTCGTTTTCGGCCGAAACCAGAAATTCAGTTTCGGTCGGCATCGAGATGACTGGGTGAGCGTGTGTGTGTGTGAATGAGCACCCCCCATCCCCCAAGTCCACCCCCCTCCCCACCTCCACCCCCTCTGACACCTCGCGTTATCTCGTGAACGCGTGTTCCAGTGTAGCCGCGCCTGCAGGCGCGCGTGTCCATTTCATTAACTTAACCACAACAAACACGAGGCCCGCTGGAGTCTTGGGTAACACGGAGCGGTGGCGCAGCGGTTAGCGCTACGAACCTGGCGGCCCGAGTTCGGTTCCCCGCTCACGGCCACCAACACCGGTGACGATTACCCAAAGCGGTCCTGGGCCTCCCCGAGGTCGACTCGGCCTCAAATGAGGAGCCAGTGGCGATGTGTAAACGATGTGTAAACATCGCCACTGGGGGAGACAAAGGCGGCCGGGCGTGGTGTTGGCCACCCACCCCCTCGTGTGCCGTGCCGGCCTTCATAGGTGCTACTCGCGAACAACACTTGCCCCAACAATATGTTACAGGCTATGTGGGTGATCTTTGTCTTTGTGCGCATAGAAATACAGGACAAGGAAGGATGTTTCTGGTACCGCCCGCTATAGCGCACGGCGGCCTGCTTAATTGTATGTCCTGTATGTATGTTGAACTTCATCCGCACCGTACGTAGCCGACTGTGCTAATTGGAGGTGCGGGGGGAGGGATAACAAATAAACTAAACACAAAAAGCAGTTCTAATGAAATTAGTTTTTAATCTCTTGTTCGCCCATCCATTCACTCTGCACGCCCCACCTGGTTAGTTTGGATTTCGAGCTATGATGAAATTAGGGGAATGACCGATTCATTATTTGGACATAGGCAGATACAAATGTACTGCATAGTCAATGCCCACGATTATCCAACAAGCAACCTATATGGGTTGTTTTTGTATTAATGAAGAAACAGGCTGGCGACCTATTGTTCAGAGACACGACTACGACCTAGGGGAAGCCCAACACCAGTTCAGATAATCGTCACCGGTGTTGGTGGCCGTGAGCGGGAATCGAACTCGGGTGGCCGGGGTTCGTCGCGCAGCGTAGCGCTAACCACTACGCCACCGCTCCCCGCATCCGCACACTCGCTCACGTGCATGCACATCCACGTTTTCACCAACCACCCACAAGACAACCATCGTGGTGAAGTATGCTTCAAACAATCCCCACGACCTGCACGGCGTACGTCAGCTCCTTCATTCAGCAGTGGATTGACAAAAGGGGGGTTTGTTAAAGCACACAAGACAAAGATCCCCCGTGTAGCCTGTAACAGACTGTTGGGGCAAGTGCTGTTAGCGAGCATCTATGAGGGCCGGCACGGCGTACACACACGTACACAGGTACACACACGTACACACGCATACACATACACACACATACACACATACACACACACATACACACGTACACACATACAACAACAACAACCGCCATTCGCCACTAAGTGGCGGTGACGTCACCACGACGCTTGTGCCAGGCCATGTGCACATACACACACACATACATACACACATACATACACACATACACACACACGTACACACACATACACACACATATACACACGTGCACACACATACACACATACACACACATACACACACCTACACACACATACACACACACGTACACACATACACACACATACACACACCTACACACACATACACACACATACACACACACACGTACACACACACATACACACACACATCTGTACATAAATGTTCATTACGGAGCAGGTGGCAACCCCAGAACGGGGTTTGCGTCCATGCTGATGGTTGGGTGCGCGCGCAATTGACGCACGGGCACGCAGCGACCCTCTCACGCGGGGGGGGGGAGGGGGGGGAGAGGGGACTTCGCCTTGGGGCTCTCAGCGAGAAGCCCCCAAATGAGCGAACGCATTCAAAGGAAATCGTCTCAATTCACATTGCGATCATTTACGCCGGGGAACCTCCTCCCCCCCCCTGCATTATTTTGTGCGGGCCGTGATGAGGGCAGTGGGCATCAAAGTGCGCGCGTGGTAACAGGAATTCGCTCAACGCACGCCGGCGACTGAACCCCTCCACCGCGAACTGCGGAGATGGAGCGATGAAATCAGGAATTTGTAAATTATTCGACTGGATTGTATCGTAGCGCAGGACGTGGCGATGGTTTGGGGAGGCTTTCATCCAGCGGTGGATTGATCATGGCTGCTGCTGCTGATGATGTTACTGGCGTCATGCAATGTGTACGGTCCTTTCTTAATCGACACCTCCCTCGGCCGCCTTTGTCTAATGTTTACACACCGCACCAGCTCCTAATTTAAGGCTAAGTCGTTCTAGCGGAGGGCCAGGACCGGTTCAAATATTCGCAATTGGTTATTGGACGCGAACTGGAATGGAACTCGGGTCGCTGGGTTCGTAGCGCAGTGCGCTCAACACTATACTACCGCTGCCCACAAAGACCCCCCCCCCCTACCTCCCCCGTATAGCAGTAAACAGACTTTTGGAGCAAGTGCTGTTAGCGAGCTGCTCACAGCATCACCAACAGCTGGAAGGATGAGCCCCCTCCCCCCTCTCGCCTTATTACGCACGAGGAGGCCAATGCAGTTGATGATATTGTGGTGGCGTGCAGCGGTGGTGGTGGTGATGGTAGCGGTGGCGGTGGCAGTGGTGGGTACCCCACCTGCTCTTTGCGGGCTGCAGCCCAGCGCGCCGTGAGCCACGATCAGCGCCAGCATCGCCACGGAGATGCCCACAGCCTCCTCCATGTGGTGTCTCCTTGAGCGTCGTCCGCCTGAACCCTCATGCCACGCACGCCACATCTTCTCGCGACGCTCGCCTACATGAAAGAGCCTCTTTCTCTCTGTCTCTCCTCGCTCTCGTCTCTCTCTCTCTCTCCACCGCCGTGCTGACCGGAGCGCAGATTCTGCGAGAAGTTCTCTCTCTCTTGAACGCGGTCAACTCGTCAGCGACGAGATAAACTCCTCTCCCGAGTGCTGTTTACGGATGAGCGGCACATAGTTGTCGCCCTCCCAGCCCGGGGCGTCTTGCGCACTCCGAGAGATTTTCAAAGACAACGGGGCACGGGTTTTGGGTGTCCTAATGAGCGTGGTGGTGCAAGATGACAAAGGTTGTGGCATGGAAGAGGAAGATCGGGCGGCCCCCCGCCCCCCCCCTGTATTGAGTTGCGGTGATCTGTGTGGCTGGCGCGCGGCCCGCACTCATCTTCGCCACAAAGTGCAGCTGTCAGTCAGTCGAGGGGGAGGGGGTGGGTGGTGGGGTGGTTGGTGAGTGAATAGCCACGGTGGTCAATTCTCCTTCCCATCGCTGTGTGCGCACGGTACACGCACGGACCTTTTTGTTAATCCAGGGGATTAATGAGGCCCCTTATTTTCCAGCTCTTTGTTCTCATGTGGTTACCCCCCCACCCTATTCCCCGCGAGTCCGTGTGTGTGTGTGGTGAGGAGGGGGGGTTCCTTGACGATGATCCATCGAGCCGCACCTCCGATATTAGCACGGTTGGATACGTAGGGTGCGAAAGAAGTTCAACGTACGTAGGTGCGTACGTGCCGCTTTTCAGCACGCGTTGAGTAAAAGGTGTGGAGGAGGTGTGGAGGATGGACCTCCGTAGGCGTACTTAGAGGAAAGCAGTGGCATTTGTCAAACTCCCCACGTCCATGTCCACACCTTGAACCCGCAACCCATAGTACGTGCGTTCTGGTCGCCAATCCAAGCGCTATCTGGGCTCAGCGCTACTTTAATCGTAGGAGATCGGGCGCATTCCGTGCGATTTTTGTCAACGTCAGTTCAATATTCGGCATTCTGCAGGGCTGGAGTTAGTTACCTGCACCACCTGGAACACCAGAGCAGACATGGAATGCAGCCAGCCCCTTACAATGACAAAGATCCCCCGTGTAGCCTGCACAGACTATTGGGGGCAAGTGCTGTTAGCGAGCACCTATGAAGACCGGCAAGGCAGACGAGGGGGAGGCCAACACCACGCCCGGCCGCCTTTGTCTCCCCAGTGGTGATGTTCACACACCACACCAGGTACTCGTTTGAGGCTGAGTCGACCTCGGGGAGGCCAATTACAAGTTCAGATAATCGTCACTGGTGTTGGCGGGCCCCGCACAGACAAGACACAGACACACAGACACGCGCACGCAAATAAATTGCATAACAATGTTAAGTATTTTTTTTGAAGCGTACAGTATATCCGTGGGCCTCTCGACTCATAATCCCGTTTGCCAGCCCCGTGAATGGAGCGGTCCTGTCTGACTCCACTGAAGGTGTATTCTCCTCTGCCTCACGGTGGTTATACAATGTGTCATTAAAATTCAGCCTGGCCGAGTCTGGATTGTGTTTCCCAAACCATTGGGGGGCATGGGAGGGAGGGGGTGGCTGAAACGATACGCGTATGCGGTAAGGGCAGGCATGGGGAACCAGACAGACCAGGCAGACGTCGCTGTCAATGCAATAATAAGACGCTTGAAACTTACGAACATCTTCATGTAATCCCCGAAAGCCTTGCCAAGCCTCGACGTTTGAGTAAAGTTTCAGGATGGCCCTGAATTTGTTAATTTGGACCATTCCACTTTGTGAGAACAAAGAGTTTTATTTACCCATGGAACAGCTCCTGAACAGCTCCTCGCCTTTACAACTCGTCAACAAACTCACACTGACCGTTGTGGTGAAGTATGGTCAAACAACCCCCATGACTGCCACGGTATGGAGGGGACCTTCGTCCAGGATTATATTGAGAAAAGGAAAAGACTCACTGAGTCCCAAGTCTTTTTGTTTAATTCGAAATCGTGGTGCATTGGCTCATTTGACCGATTCCGTGAATGATTTTTTTGTTGGCTCCACGTGGGGGGAAGTGGATCACCCCGAGAAAGCCCACCACCCATTCGAGGAGATAACAAAAGTCTGCACAGGCGGATTCACGTGCCCGCTTTGCTCTACATCCATCACCTCCGATTACACTGGTCAACAAAAAAAAAACATTTTTTTCTGGCCTGGACTTTTGCAGCTGTTTTCGACTAATTTCAGGGTGCAGATTCCAAATCTGATCTCAGATTTGTTCTATCACATCTCATTTTATGCTATCGGCATACCCCATTTTCATTGATTTTACCCGAAATTAACTCTGTCACTTATGATTGCAAGTTGTTGCTTTAGTGTTAAAATATGGTGCTTTATTTTTAGGATAGTGTGTTTATAATATCATTTTATGTAGATATCCACATTTATTTAATATTTTTCTTCTGCAGTTTTTATTGAAAATGCAATATTTGATACCTCAAAAACCTGATGTGATAGACAAAAACTGATGCCAGATGTGGAATCAGCACCCCAAAACTACCTTAAACCCGTTGGAATACCTTATGCCAGAAAAAGTGTGTTGACCAGTGTTATCACGTTTGGCTAGGTAGGGTGCGAAAGAATTCCAACATACATACAGCTCCTGGCCCTCTCCACATACAGCCAAAGGGGGTCTGGGTGACTTACGCACGTGGCCCACCAACTCCTGATATAAACATTCAGCTGGCATTTGCCTATGCACGCTATGGATTGGAGCAGATGCGGGACTCGTGGGGGAGGGGGCTGAAGTCACGGTTGGTCCTTGCTAATTGTCACCAGTCGTTAATTGTGCACTGAAAACCCCACGGTTGTATGTAATGCATTGAGCTAGAGAGGGCTAATTAGCTCATCCAACCAGCTAACCACGTCGGCTCGTGGTCCTTGATTTGTTAATGAGCTGCAGTGCTCACAGGAGGCAGGGCGTGGATGAGTAGGGGGTGGTGGGGGGGGGTCACTCGGTCACGTGCATCGAGGTTCGTTAGGTGAAGAGACAAAGATAAATATCCCCCGTATAGCCTTAACAGACTGTTGGGGCAAGTGCTGTTAGCGAAGGCCGGGACGGAACACGAGGGGGTGGGTGGCCAGCACCACGCCCGGCCGCCTTTGTCTTCCGAATGGCGATGTTTACATACCGCACCAGGTACTCACTTGAGGTTGAGTCGACCTAGGGGAGGCCGATGACCGGTTCAGATAATCGTCACTGGAATTGGCTGTGAGCGGGGATCGACCTCGGGTAGCCGGGTTCGTAGCAAAGCGTGCACTACAAAGACATATACTGGGTGCTTCAAAACAATTTTAACACATACATGGGACGATCGTTTTTAATGGAAAAAGAACGGATAATAAGACACTGCGACGTGATAACAAATGTAATGTTAATAGCTTTAAAAAGTCAAAGAGTCTGCCACTTGTTCGCCATCATTGTCAACGCGTGCCTGAAATCGTCTCCACGTGGTCTGCAGAGCCCGGAGGCACATTCATTGTGGTGTTGTAGCAAATTCTCCGAAGTGTACAAATACATTTTGAAGCACCCTGCATATATACACACACACACGTAGATCTAAATTGGTCCTATCTCGTCAGATCTTGAAAGTTATCCAGGGATGAATCTGGTTGGTGCTTGGATGGGTGACCACCGACGGCTTGCCAGTTGTTGTCAGCGAGGGAGAGTGAGGCAATGAGTGTCACCCCCTCGCACGCTGCGGAGTCTTCTCTCTCGAGGCTCTGGTTTCCTCCTCCACGAAGTCAACCACTCGCTCACGGAATCGTTCAAACGCACCCCCGCCCCCCAATGTAGCAGGGACCCTTCTGAATTTAAAAAAAATCAGACTTAGCGAGGCTTTTCTGGGTAAAGCATCACATCGTGAATAACTTTATAACCAGGTGAGAGATTATAGAGACGATGGTCTCGTTGAGCCAGGCGTGGTGGCCTGGCGGATTACGCACGGATTTGCACAACTCAAAAAAAATTCGCTTGTTTGGCCGCGAAGGTGGCTGGGATGTGCTAAGTAGTACAGCAAGTGGGTTGGCGATGAGTTGTATAACACTCACTATTGGGATGCTTGGTTCAAATCCATTGATGAGTGGGCATGCGAGAACACGGATAAAACACAACGAGTAAGACGATAACATACGAGCGTGATGATGAAAAGGGTGGCTGATAATCACGATGAGAATCGTGTCGCTGTTGATGACGATGGTGATGCTGATGCTCGCTCAGGGTCCACGCTTCGGACGCACGTTCACGCGCGCACGTGCGCGTTCACGCGCGCCCATCCGCTCGGCGCATGCACAGCACGCGCGCGCGCACGCACAGCACGCGCGCGCGCACACATCCATGCATGCGCACACACGACACACAGAGAGAGAACCATGCGCACACACGACACGCACACAAAAGCGAAACGTAAATAAATAAATAAGGCTGACAAATAGAGGGGTGTTGCACGAGCGACGAGGTCGTGGATGCGGGGGTTGCGTGCGAGGGGCGCTCGCTCGCTCGCTCACGTGCGCGCGCGCCGCGCTCACGTGCCGCTCCAGCAGCTGCCGCGGCCCCGCGTGGAGTCGCAAATCTCTCCTCCAGAGCGCCACGGAGCCCGCCTCGAGAGTCTGGCGACTGCAGCAGGTCGCGGTGCGTGCGTGTGTCTGTGTGTGTGTGTGCGTGTGTGTGTGCGTGTGTGTGCGTGTGTGTGTGTGTGTGTGTGCGTGCGTGTGTGCGTGTGTGTGTGCGCGTGTGTGTGTGTGCGTGCGTGTGTGCGTGTGTGCTTGCGTGTGTGTGTGCGTGCGTGTGTGTGTGCGTGCGTGTGTGTGTGCGTGCGTGTGCCTGCGTGTGTGTGTGCGTGCGTGTGTGTGTGCGTGCGTGTGTGTGTGCGTGCGTGTGTGTGTGCGTGCGTGTGTGTGTGCGTGCGTGTGCCTGCGTGTGTATGCGCGTGCCTCCGTGTGTGTGTGCGTGCGTGTGCCTGCGTGTGTGTGTGCGTGCCTGCGTGTGTGTGTGCCTGTGTGTGTGCGTGTGTCCGTTTGTGCGAGTGTGCGGAGCAGTAGTTGTAGAGCGGTTAGCGCTGCGCTGCGCTATGAACCTGGCGACCCGAGTTCGATTCCCGCTCACAGTCAACACGAGTGACGATTATCTGAACCGGTCATGAGCCTCCCCTTAGGTCGACTCAGCCTCAAGTGAGTACCTGAGGCGGTGTGTAAAATATTGCCACTGGGGAGACAAAGGCGGCCGTGCGTGGTGTTGGTCACCCACCCCCTCGTGTGCCGTGCCCGCCGTCATAGGTGCTGGCTAACAGCACTTTCCCCAACAGTCTGTTCAGGCTAATACGGGGAATCTTTGTCTTTGTTTGTGCGCGTGTGTCATCTCAGCGTGGCGAGCGGTCGTGTCGAGCGGTTAGCGCTGCGCTACGAACCTGGCGACGCGAGTTCGATTCCCGCTCACGGCCACCAACGCCATTGACGATTATTTGAGCCGGTCCTGAGCTTCCCCTAAGTTAACTCAGCCTCAAATGAGTACCTGGTACGGTGCGTAAACATTGTCACTAAGGAAGACAAAGGCGGCCGGGCATGGTGCTGGCCTTTATAGGTGCTCACTAACAAGACTTGCCCCAACAGCCTGTTGAGGCCTCCATGGGTGATCTTTGTTGGTCATCTCAGGCAGTCAACCGCTGCACATGGGGTCGACTCTTCCACGCCGGCTGAACGTTTTGGAAGAGGTGTCTGTACCCACCCTCTACCCCAACACACGCCACTAACTGGTGTACCCGTGTATACTCCTGGGTCAGGGCTCGGCAACCCAACTAACAAGAAGAAACATTTTTAAAAAATTGGAATTCGGTGACAAAAAACTGAATATTTCAACAATGCACTCAGTGGTGAATACGAGACGGTGGTGGTCCCTTAATAAAAAAAACGCCACGAAAGCAGCGGTCCTTAAACAGCCGCATGCGCCCCTCGGAGCCGCAGGTTGCCCACCCCTGACCTGTGTGAACAAAGTTGGGGTGTGGTGGGGGGGGAGCGCACACGTCAGGAACCTTCGCATTGTTTCAACTGCCCCGCCGAGAGATCGAACTCGCGACCGGCGGATCGCAGCTCGAGCGTGCTAAGCAGTGCACTGCCTACGCACTGATGTACAATGTGTCCACCTAGTAGTGCAACAGTTGCGGGGAAGGGTGATTCCAGCCGGCTGTAGTTGGCGCTCGTTAACCGCCTCGCGATGAACAGCCAGGCGGCATGCGCGACGCAGCAGGAGCGCCGCTTCACGTCATCGTCACCCGCACACCTTGGTATGCCTCCTGGCCCGCTCGCAGAGTTCATTCCGTTTAATTTCGACGAAACATTTCCACGTCGTTTACACTCAAGGGCATCTATATACAGTATATATATACTGTGTGGATATTTAACGTTGAGTCGTGCCATTTCTGAAGTCATTGTCGTGCTCATCGCTGAGAATCGGAAAACAAAACGCGTACAAAGTTCACGACCCTGGGTTTCTAAACTAACGGACTGCGCGCGTTAACTGTCGTAATAAAGACATTAATTCCCTGCCACAATCAAGCAAACGATGGGTGAAGCCCCCACACGCGACCACGGCACCTGGGTTACGTCGGGCATGGGACCATACTTCACCTCGCTGGTCAATTCAGGGGAGAGGCCAGGATCGGTTGTTCACAGAGCAGCGCGCTAACCGCTGCACCACCGCTCTACCCATTCATCCTCACATGCACACGGTATTTAAATTCAGACGCGTTCAAATGATCTGGGCAATTCTTACACGGACGATGTTTTGTCATTTTTTGTTACGAAAAATCACGGGGAACCGGGCCATTCGAGGAAAACGTTCCCATCGGACAGCGATGCGCGCAACCGATCAAATCAATATTTATCAGAGTCGCGTGCGTGGACACGGCACGGACGCACGCGCACAACGGGAACCCCAGAGCCGCGGCTCACAGTGAACCTGAGTTCGCCTCCTCTATCCCGTGCGCCCGGCTGCGCTCTAACTTAATTTGGAGCTACGCTCTCTCACGGGGAGATGGATGGAGGCCTCCCGGGCTGAGTGAACGAGTCAACGGCGGATCAGCCTTTGCGCCACGCGGGCAGACGCCGCCCGCCCGCCCGCCTGCCGCATGCCGTGGTTGCGCGCTGCGCTCCAGCGCGACGGTTTCCAACGGTGGATCAGGGGCTTGAACAGGGGGGGGAGGCCCCCGCGTCTTGTCTGAAGGCACGCTGGGGCCATCTGCTCGCCCGGCCACAGCCGCCCGGGAGCCATACGGTGCAGAGGAAGGCGCGTGACGGGACTCCGCGGGAGCGCTGAGCGGCGCGACTGAAGCCACGTGGTGGTTTTTGGTGACATCGAGCCGCTGCGATTGCGAGGATAAAACACGCGCGATTTCGTTTGTAACAAGACGAAACAAACAAAAAAAACCTAGTACGCAGGAATCACTCGAGCATAAAGGTTCCCGGTTTGCGAATGTTCGATAATTTGCACGTAGAAACGGTGGCGATCGCGTGTTTAACCGAACGGGCACGGCGAGAAGTTATTGCGTAAAAATGGAGTCGTCTCGCCGCGCGGCACGGCGCGGTTCGCCTCTTCTCATCTAACTAAACAAAGCAACGCTCAGCCACGGGCTTGCCTAATGTGCGGAGAAGTTGAGGGACGTTTATAAAAATTGGATTTAAGCCCCCTGGACTCTAAAACAAAAGTTTGAAAATCGTTTTGGATCAGTGTAATAACCAGGCTCCTGTGCGCCCCTTTTGCGCAATTTAAAGCGGAGGGCTGTGACCAAAACGCTTAAACTTTCCAAAGAGAGGCTTAAAGCGAGTCGTATTGAGAAGAAGGGCCGATTTATCTTTTCTTTCTGTTTAACTCTCTCATCAAACTCTAGCCTTGCAGCAGCGTGGCGTTTTCTATTGGCGCGAGGCGAGGCCCCGGGTCTCGCGTGCGCTGAAAGACTCGAGGGCTCCGCGTTCCCTCTTCCGCAGGTGACGCAGCGTTAATGCCGCCCCCACCAGCTGGGTTTGGCCCCCCCGCTCCCTTTTTTTTTCTTCATTTTATCTGCCCCAGCCCATCGCCCCATGATTAAAATTTCAGTGTACCAAGCCATTCAGCGCTTTCAATGGACATTTCTTCTAGAATAATAGGCGCAAAATTGAGCCGGTGGCCTCGCTGGCGGAGCCTCGCCCGCGCGAGTGCCAAAGGCGGCTGGGGGCGACGGGGAGCGGGCCCGCTCGTGTGCCAGGCTTGCTCCACACCTGCCCGGTCTCCGATAAATAATGGCTGGGAGAGACAAAGGCGGGTCACCCCCCCCCCCTTCCTCTCTCCTCTCCCTCCTCCCCATCCACCCCACCACCACCACCACCTCCTCCTCCTTCTCCTCTACGCTCCCGCCTCGCCACCGTGCCGATCCCGACGGGTCAGCGGGGCCCTCGGGAACAAACGGGCGCGCTCAGCTCACGCAGCACCCCGCCATCGCAGCCCGCGCGGCCGGCAATCACCCTAACAACGCTAGTGGGGGGGGGGGGGGTTGCGTGGGGGGGGGGGGGGTGGATGAAGGGGGGGGGGAGCAGGGAAGCGTGAGACGGGGCAAGGCCGGAGCTCACTGGGGGTCGATCCTCACGCGCCAATGGGGCGCGGTGGACGGTTGGTTAAGAAAGCGGTGAACGAGGCGGGCAGCGGCGTGGGGTTGGGTTCGGGTGCTCTCGGGGAAAGGGAGAATCATCCGGGGGGGGCGAAGAGGGGGGGGGGTGGTGAGGAACTTCGCTCCGTGCCCCCCCGCACTGCGCGTGTGCGGTTCACATTTCGCGCCCTGTTCCACATTAGCATACCAATGGTCCCCACGTGAGCGCACCAACGCCTCCCTCGACACCCCCCCCCCCCCCCGCTCTCAACCACCCACCCCCCTCTTCCCAAAACAACACCTCCGATGCATAAACATGGCCATTCAGGAGACGTAATCCTTGACATGATTTGGGGGTGAGGCCGGACTCGGGGCAATGCCGAGGCGGCCCCGTTATAAATAAGAGGCCATCCCCGTGGGCGAGGTGTCGCCACTCCGAGAGACGGGGACCCTTGCCGAGCCACGGTCGACCCCCCCCCCACAACCCCTCGTCTCCTCCAGGCCACGAGGAGGGACCGTCATGTCGGGCAGCAAAAAACTGCGCAAGGTAAAGAGGCGAGAGGACGACTCTCGCGGTGTGGCGATGAGGCTCAGCGCTCACGCGCGCCACGAGTGCGGGGTGAGAGCCTTTGCCCCCCACTCCCTCCCTCCCTACATCCCTCCCGCCACCACCGCAACCCACGTGCCGCAAGTGCACACGCACCACCAGCACCACCAACACCACCACGCACCACCACCCAACACGGACCATCACCACCACGCACCACCAACACCACTGCCACGCACCACGTACCACCACCACCGCCAGCACGCACCACCAACACCACCGCCACCACCAACACCACCGCCACCACCAACACGCACCACGTACCACCAACACCACCACTGCCACCACCAACACCACCGCCACCACCAAAACGCACCACCACCACGCACCACCATCACCACCACGCAACACCACCACCACCACTACGCACCACCACCACACACTACCACCACCACGCACCACCACCACCACCAGCAGATTTTGATTTCCCTTGTTTTTGTTGCTGTTGCTCTTGCTGCAGGTTGTTAGGGTTGCTGCACTCCTGTGGCGTCACGGTGGCGAAATGTTAACTACATCGCTTGGTATACAGGATGTCGTGGGCTCAATCCAAACCCAAACCGCATGTTGTATATTTGGAGTTTGCATGTCTCTCTCTCTCTCCCGTGGTCGCGTAGATTTTTCTCCCGGTCCTCCGGTTTTTTTCCTCCGCATTTAAAATTAACGTCCGTTTAGAGTATCTGGCACACAATAAATATCCACGTGATGAGCCACTTCGTTTATGTATCATCCAGATAGCTCAGTGGACCTTACCTGGTAAAGAGAAATAGTTTCGTTGATATGGGCAGAGATTTTGTGCGTGTGGCACCGGTATTCGTTGACTTCCAGCAAAGCGTCCTGAACGCTCTGATCCGTCTAGCAAGCCAGGGCGGTGTTCAATCAAAATCAAAGCCTGGATCGGGATACTGCCCCGGTGTTGTGGGCTTGAGCTTTCGAAACGGCGGTGCGGTAGGACGGCGGTGAATTCTGAAATCCCTCCGCGCTCAGCGTTTTGTCATCACTTCGTGCTCGCGATCGGTTTTACTGCGGGCAACTCCAATTGCCTCCCGCGAGCAAAATATTAACTCAGGAGTGGGAATTTTGGCCAAACATCGCCAATGCAAGATACCTCGTGAACAAAAAAAAAACAAAGATGAAAATAATAATAATAATCATGATACTGCGCGACACCCTCCTGGGTAAAAACAAAATCCATTCTTGTAAGCGACATCGCGTATTGTCGAATGAGTATTCTTGTCGAGGCAATGCCGCACAAACACTGCTCGCTTATCTTTTTGCTCACCAGATTAGTGACCGTTCCCCCCCCGTCGATTATACTTCATATGGGCGACCTGCGTGTCAGGCGTTCGCTTTGTATACTGTATACATATAAGAAGACCTAGGAAACTGCGATACACGCTATATTGCGCTACGTACGGTGCGAAATAAGTTCAACATACACACACCATACACACACACACATTCACGTGTTTGCGATTCACGCGTTACCATTTCACGCAGTTGCCTCCTCGATCAACAATGTGGAATTCTCGGTGTAAGTCGTTTGGCTAATTATCTGAATCTGGACCCTACAGCCTATTAATTGCCTATGGCCAGCTCCGCGGGAATCCCACCCCTCCCCCCCATGCGTATTCGAAGCTAAGCCGGGTTGAGCCTGACTAGTGCTTGGATGGGTGACCGCCATGCATAGCAGATTGTATGGGCTGTAGGGCAGGTGCGTTGTTAGCAGAATACATCTATCGTAGCACTGAACTTCGATGCTCACGCTTCTATGCTCACACACACACGCGCGCGTCTTTGCTTCCCGCCGTCACAAACCCGGGGGGACCAGGGTGGTGAAGTATGGTCAACTCGACTTGTACGGCGCAGATCAGGCCTTCTTCCAGCAGTGGTTTGAGCAAAACGCTTGTACGTGCACACGCGGCGTTGATTGCGCGTACGTGACATTTACGTACCCAGCCCGGGGCTTACATTTCTGGCCGGGTCCATCTCATGCCGAGTTGACGCACGTGGAAGATAATTGCGCGTCCGGAACAAACCCACGAACCCCCCCCCCCTCCCTCGCCACGGCTGCGTCTATTCGTGGGGCACCAACTCCCTCGGTCCACCAGCGAAATCCGGAGCATATTCAGTGGAGCGCGGTTTATATCCAAATAAATCAGCGCGCGTGCAGGTGCCATGGACGAATTGTCACGTGGCTGGCGACGAGTTTGGGGAGGCCTCCGTCTAGCAGTGGATGATAGACCGCGGCTGCTGATGACGATATCTTAAAAAACACACACACAGAGAGATGAACTCCGCGATTCTTTGGGGACCGAGGGGAAGAAGCCCTTAGATCAGACGGCGGTGGGGTGCTCTTCGCTGTGGATGTCGGGAGTTGAATGCCCGCACCTCCGATTCGCACGGTTGGCCACGTACGGCGCTAAAGAAGTTCGGCTTAAGTGCACGCGCAGCAGCTGCGTTGGTACGGGAGGTGGCACGCGTAGGCGATTGGCACCAGTGGATTTGGCCATAATAACACCTTGATTTTGAAATCGAGAGAGACAATGCATTGTATATACAGTCTACAAAACAAAGACTTCCTCCCCTAAACCCTCCGTATAACCTTAATAAACTGGTGGGGAAAATGCTGTCAACGAGCACCTATTAGGGGATGGGTGGCCAGAACCACGCTCGGCCGCCTTTGTCTCCCCAGTGGCGATGTTTACACGCCGCACCAGGTGCTCATATGAGGCCGAGTCGACCTAGGGGAGGCCCAGGACAGGTTCAGATAATCGTCACCGGTTGTTTGCCGTGAGCGGGAATCGAACCCGGGTCGCCAGGTTCGTAGCACAGCAGCGTAGCGCGAACCGCTACACCACCGCTCCCCACAACGGGACACACAGACACAGACACACACACAGACACACATACACACACACACAGACACACACACAGACACACAGACACACAAACACACACGCCTCGTGTCCTCTCTCTCCATCTCCCGTTCCAGGGTGGGACCGTGTCGCACAAAGTGATCGAGAAGCGACGTCGGGACCGGATCAACCACTGCCTCAACGAGTTGGGGAACACCGTCCCCATGGCTCTCGCCAAGCAGGTGAGGGGCGGGGCCGGGTGAACAGCAGGGGGGGGGCGTCGAGGGACAATCGGCTCCACTGCGTTGACCGGACACTGCGTTGATACGACACGTCCATATAGCCTTGTCAGAATATTTTTCATAAATAAACCTAAATTTCGATTTAAAGCTTTCGTGACTGCAGGGATTCATCTTCTTGGTTCTTTGGGTAAAGTCACGTAGAATGGAAGTAATAAAATAATAAAAATAAAACATAATAAAATAATTCTCACGACAGTTCGGCCACAACGCAAGCAGCCGTCCTCAGGTGAAGACCAGGTCTGTCGGGGAGACAGCGTGTTTTATTCAGACGCTGTCTCCCCGACAGACCTAGTCTTCACCTGAGGACGGCTGCTTGCGTTGTGGCCGAAACGTCGTGAGAATTATTTTATCATGTTTTATTTTTATTATTTTATTACTTCCCTTCTACGTGACTTTACCGAAAGAACCAAGAAGATAAATAAACCTGTTCACAGGATTGCACAGGAAGTATACTGTATATGGTACCGTACAATAATCTAGGATCATTATTACGGAGATGCGTACCTTTTTCTCTACACGGCAGTGGTGCCTTGCGGAGACAGACGCTACTCCAAGCCGGCCTTGGCAGCGTTCCGGAAAATATCGAGCGGTAAAATATGGAAGCGGTGTTTATTTTTGGCTTAATTGCAATCAATGCCAATAACTCGCGGTTGCCACGCGACATGTGGGACGCGCGTAATCGCATCGGGCCCTTTCGGCTTGACGGGAGGTCTTCATCCAGCAGCCGATTGATCGCGGCCGATAATGATGACGTTAAGAACACGTACGATCCGTGATTCATTTCGTCGGGCAAACGCTCCCCCGTGTTTGTAACGCAGACAGACGTCGACGCCGGTGTCGTGCGTGCGAGCTCTGTCCCGCGCACGGCGTCGAAGGCTCCCGCTGTGGAAAGCGAATTCCTCCTGATTGTCCGCGTGGCAGCCGTTTGAGCCGCAGCATCTGCAACGATCCGTCGTAGTTACAGGCGATGGCCTCCGCGGTGGGTTGATTGATCAAAGTCCACCACGCTGCTCGCTCGGCGTTATCCCCGACTTTGGACCGTGGAAATCGCGCAGAACGTCGGCAGACATCGGCTGCACTGCCCTCTACTGACCAGCAACGCAGCGGCCTAGAGCGAGCGGGCAGCATGCAAGGGTCCAGACTCAACGCTGCGTGCTTTCGCTTCCGAGGACTGGCGGAGAATCCTGGGGGTAGCATGGGGGGTGTATTCCATGGGGGATCTGGTGAGAGGTCTACCCGCTATATATTAGATCGTTTAGCACCTTCCATTGGCAAGGTTGTCTGCGCACGGTGCAAAAGAAGTTAAACATCCGTACGTTTGAAGCTTTCGTGACCGCAGGAATTACTCTGGTTCTTTCGGTAAAGTCACGTAGAAAGAAGATGTTGTGTTGTCTCTCTCTCTGCTTGTGTGTCTGTCTATGTGTCTCCGTGTCTGTGTTTTGTCTCTCTCTCAAATTGAGTTCTACCTGATGACGGTTGCTTGTGTTGCAATCGAAACGTCGTACTCTATTATTTAATTTATTTTCTTTCTACGTTACTTTACCCAAAGAACCAACGAGTAATCCGTACGTTTATCAGGACGAGCTGCAGCGAATCTCACATGCTCCGTTGGCCCGGGTGAGTTCCCTGCGGCCATGCATGGGATGTTTGAATTTCTGGCGAGGTTGGGGTAGGGGTGTGGTGGGGGGGCCTTCGAAAAACGCCTCCGGTCAACGGCGCTCGCGCGGGGCGTTGAGTGTCGCCTCGCAAGGGCTTGAGACACCGTGGCAGAGAACGGGAATGGAACCTCGCGAGCGCACAAAAAAAACCGAATGCATTTTCCGTTTTCCGCACGCAAGTCCGCAAGGAAGGACGCGTTGCTGCGCTGGGATGGGCCCCGCGGCGTTCGGGGAGTGCCCTCGATCGACGGCGCGCAATAAACGCCGCTGATGAGTCTCAAAAAATTAACCCGTAAAAACAAAGTTTTTCACTATAAATCCTTTATATGCGTGTTCAATGGGCCACAACCCAGCCCACATTGGTCTTTGGAACGGGCGGCTAGAGTCCTCTCGTCCTCTGGCTTGAGATGGCTGCCACCAATGGGTCAGATGATTGTCTGCCACCATTAAGCAATTGGTAATTAAATATAAAAAAAAATCCTAAAAGGTGTAAAATTTTGGGAAAAACTTTTCACGAAAATACATTGTCACGCACAACGAGTCTGTGTGCAAAATGTCAGCTCGATTGGATCACGGGAAGTGGGTTAAAAAACGACCGAAAAATTTGCAAGGTCGTAAGCAAGCAAGCAAGTGAACTTAATATAAAGGATTTCAAAAGGTCGAGTGTCAGCGCTTGCCCGTTAAAACAAACGCTGCTGGTAAATATTGGATAGCAAGGCGCACAGAGCGGTGGATCTACACGTACCGTATATGTTATGAATCAGGACATTGCTTGCTTATAAATGTTTAATACACACGCAGTGTCGGATTATATCGGTAGCAAAAGTAGAAGATGCTACAGGCCCCGCACTTGCAATGGCCCCGCGCTAAATGCTTTCAAGCTATCAATTCTGGTTCAGTGATTCTGCACTTGCTCTATTACTATAGTACTATACCGCCTTCAACTTTTATGAACGACTGGGTGTTTAAGGTTAGCGATTTGTCGTATTATCTGGCTGTATAGCAAATGAAAAAATACAATTATTTTACTATGCAGGTAAAAAATGTACGTGTTTTAATCATATTTATTTATTTAGGCCCCCTTTATAACATATACTACAGGCCCCACACTAGCTTCATCCGGCACTGTAAACACACGACAAGGTCCGCACACACGGGTTCACGAACTCACTTGCTGCCCTGGCTCTCTACCGGGTTTGGGCGTTTCACAAATATCTCCGTGACCCGCCAACCCTTTCCTCCAGAGCGCGCTGAATCTCAGCGCAAATTAACAATTGACGAGCGAAAATGGGGACTAATTAATTGCCCGATTAATTAAACGGTCAATTATTCAATAGGTTTCATTACACCTCCATGCGTTTATCGAGTATGTATTTAAATGCGCAATGATTGCAATGAGACAATTCGCTCGTGGGGCAATTGTCTCATTGATCACGCTAATGGGGGGGGGGGGGTGACGGGGGGGCTATTCTGCGCTATGTACCCGGCGCCCCTGAGTTCGATTCGGAGCCACGGCTCACAACAACATTAAACAATGGCTCACAAATGCACGTGTGCCAAGACGCGTATGCGGTCGACAGATATTCGAAAGGACTTCAGAGAAATTCACTGGCATCTGCTGTGTGTCGTGCATTGTGTTTCGGACAATTTGTTCATCCAACAAATGTCGCGATGGGGTTTTTGCTTTCTGAGTCTCGTTGGCAGCAGTGCGTGGACTGCTGACAAGACGAACCACCTTGCTTTCACGTTTACGATCAATCTCACGGATCCACTGCTCCGTCGAGGGATCATAATGCGACACTGGATAGTTTTACGCAGGCATAGCCTATCCGCTGCTGGATGAAGGCCCTCGGTGGTCCGATTATAACCCCAACATCCATGGCACACCCGCAACGCGAGCGGTTAGCGGCACTTAATGCGCTGAAGGCAACCCACGGCCTTTTCTCTTTCTTCAGCAGGGACGTCAATCCAGTGCTTGCTAATGTGGGAGACATGTCACACTCCAAACTGGCTTGAGTCCTTGGGAATGCGGCTTGACTATGGCGTTAGCAGCGATGGTAACGATGAGACCGATTTGTTTGCGATGAATTTGCACCCCGAGTGGCAGCTCTCAATGTCACTCGGCACATGGTCTGCGATTATGTACGGCATGTTGAACTTCTATCGCACCGTACGCAGCTCAACCGTGCTAATCGGAGGTGCGGGGGATGGACAACGATCTAACGCACAACAAGCGAATGGGCATTTACTCTGCCGGTCGGGGCGATGATTGCTACGTCTCTATCTCAACTGAGTCATTCGCGGCTTATTTTAGAATGTTGGCAATTTGGACCCTGACGCCGGCACAGCGATGACCGACTCTTGCGAATGACGCCACTGCGAACCGGACGGCGCGTGAGTAGTATGATGGTTAAGCTGATTGATTACACCCGCAGCAATAATCGTGTGGACCGCACGTGTACGAGCCCCATGGTGGCAGGAGGGTCCCCCTGCCGATAACTCCCGCAACACGCGCACCCGCTGGACATCTCATTCACGCGCAGTGAACGCTGCCCACGAGTCTCAGTGATAATCAATAATGGTAATTAATCAGTGATGATAATCAGTGATGATCAGTGATGATAATCATTGATTATAATCAGTGATAATCAGTGATGATAATCGGTGATGATCAGTGATGATAATCGGTGATGATCAGCGATGATCATCGGTGATGATCAGCGATGATCATCGGTGATGATCGGCGATGATCATCGGTGATGATCAGCGATGATCATCAGTGATGATCAGTGCGGCCTCTGGATTAGAACCGCGAAGCGCTTGCAACGGTTTCGGGTTTTTCTTTTTGACTCTCAACGCTTTCGCTGCACGAAATGAACGCGCCACCCGCAGGCCCACAACCCACAACCCACCACCGCCCTCCCCCCGCAACGATTCTCGCCGTCTCTCCCAGCCGGCCGCACCGCCCCACGCGTGGCGACAAATTAGAGCGGAAACGTTGGAGAGCCACTCGTGTAGATGTCCCCCTGGACCATTGGCTTTCTGAGACGTGGACGAGGACGCGAAGTGCGTTGATGCTGCGCAAAAGTGTCCGACGGTCCTCCCTCCCTCCCCTCCCTCCCCTCCCTCCCCTCCCTCCCCTCCCTCCCCTCCCTCCCCTCCCTCCCGCCCTCCCCTCCCTTCCTTCTTCCCCTCCCCTCCCTCCCTCGGTGGTTCGCGCGGCTGTGATGGACGCGCAAGGTTGATGCGGACAAATCATGGCAACGTTTATTACGCCTTTTGTTTCGGACATGAATTAATATTTTGCTCGTGATATTGAATGTGCAAAAAATGAAGTTCGATAAAGTGCCCTGGTTAAAGTTCCCTGACCCTAAGATCGAAATGCACCCCCTAAAGAAAAACGTACAGCTGCGTTAATTTCGTTTTATGTTCCGATAATATAAATCATTTTGTATACAGTCATTGGTTATTTTTAGAGAGATAAGTGATTGCGTTTTGTCACCAGGGGTTGGGGGAGCTGGGTGGTCCGCGCAAATGTTTGCATCGGCTGAGTGAGTCCGCGGGGGCAAATCAGTTTGAGAGAAACCACTGCGCTCGAGCAGGAGAGAGGGAGGGAGGAGGATGATGAAGGATGAGCGTCATCCTGGCCGTGCGTCTGTATGTGTATGTGTGTCTGTGTGTGTGTCTGTGTGTGTGTCTGTGTGTGTGTCTGTGTGTGTGTGTGTCTGTATGTGTGTCTGTGTGTGTGTCTGTATGTGTATGTGTGTCTGTGTGTGTGTCTGTATGTGTGTGTGTGTCGTGGGGAGGGGTAGTGTAGCGGATAGCGCGCTGCACTACGAACCTGGTAACCCGGGTTCGACTCCCGCTCACGGCCAACACCGGTGACGATTATCAAAACCGGTCCCGGGCCTCCCCTAGGTCGACTCAGCCTCAAATGAGTACCTGGTGCGGTGTGTAAACATCGCCACTGTGGAGACAAAGGCGGCCGGGAGTGGTGCTGGCCACCCACCCCCTCGTGTGCCGCGCCGGCCATCATAGGTGCTCGCTAAGAGCACTTGCCCCTCCAGTCTGTTAAGGCTACACGGGGGATCTTTGTGTGTGTTTTTGTGGCGCGCAGAGCAGCGGGAAGCTGGAGAAGGCGGAGATCTTGGAGATGACCGTCCAGTACCTGCGGGCTCTGCACTCGTCCGATCTCCTGCGCGGCAAAGAGAAGAGTAAGCCCCCCCCTCCTCCTCCCCCCCCCTCCTCCTCCTCCCCCCTCCTCCTCCTCCTCCCCCCTCTTCCATCTCTCCCCTCTTCCTCCTCCTCCCCCCTCTTCCTCCTCCCCCCCCTCCTCCTCCCCCCTCTTCCTCCTCCCCCCTCTTCCTCCTCCCCCTCTTCCTCCTCCCCCCTCTTCCTCCTCCCCCCTCCTCCTCCCCCCTCCTCCTCCTCCTCCCTCCTCCTCCCCCCCTCTTCCTCCTTCCCCCTCTTCCTCCTCCCCCCATCTTCCTCCTCCTCCCTCCTCCTCCCCCCTCCTCCTCCTCCTCCTCCTTCCCCCTCTTACTCCTCCTCCCCCCATCTTCCTCCTCCTCCCTCCTCCTCCCCCCCTCTTCCTCCTTCCCCCTCTTCCTCCTCCCCCCTCTTCCTCCTCCCCCCTCCTCCTCCTCCCCCTCCTCCTCCTCCTCCTCCTCCCTCTTCCCCCCTCTTCCATCTCTCCCCTCCTCCTCCCCCCTCCTCCTCCTCCTCCTCCTCCTTCCCCCTCTTACTCCTCCTCCCCCCATCTTCCTCCTCCTCCCTCCTCCTCCCCCCTCTTCCTCCTCCCCCCTCCTCCTCCTCCTCCTCCTCCCCCCTCCTCCCCCCTCCTCCTCCTCCCCCATCTTCCTCCTCCCCCCTCTTCCTCCTCCCCCCTCCTCCTCCCCCCTCCTCCTCCCCCCCCCTCCTCCTCCCCCCTCCTCCTCCCTCTCACACAAAGACAAAGACCCTATCCCCGGTCCCATATAGCCTCAACAGACTGTCGGGGCAAGTGCTGTTAGCGAGTAGCACCGATGAAGGCCGGCACGGCACACGGGGGGGGTGGGGTGGTCACCGCCACGCCCGTCCCGACTTCGTCTCCCCAGTCGCGATGTTTACACATCACACCGTGTTACTCATTCGAGGCTGAGTCAACCTAGGGGAGGCCTATTGACCGTTTCAGACAATCGGGTTAGCCATGTACGGAAATCGAACTCGTGTCGCTGGGTTCGTAGCGCAGCGCCCTAACCACTACGCTACCCCCCCTAACTCCCCGCACCCTCCCGCCCCCCAATGCATCCCCTTCCCAGCAGAATCCTTGCTGATGAGATTGACTGGGGAACTGATACAGATCCTGTTACTGTTGGAACTCTGCATGCATTCACTAACCACCCACCGCATCGACCACGACCCCCCCCCCACCCCCCCGCCCGCGATTCGATCAATGGTCACGATTCCCGGTCATGATTTCGATTCAGGATCATATTTTTGTTATTTTTAAATCCTTTATATTAAGTTCACTTGCTTGCGTGCTTGCTTGCTTGCTTACGACCGTGCAAATCTTTCGGTCGTTTTTTAACCCACTTCCCGTGATCCAATCGAGCTGACATTTTGCACACAGACTTGTTGTGCGAGACAATTAATGTTCGTGAAAAAAAAATCCTAAATTTTACACTGTTTAGGGGAAACAAATTAAATATTTAATTACCAATTGCTTAATACTGGCAGACAATCATCTGACCCATAGGTGGCAGCCATCTCAAGCCAGAGGACGAGAGGACTCTAGCCGCCACGCATATAAAGGATTTATAGTGAAAAACTTTGTTTTTACGGGTTATACTTATTTGTTATTGCCCCTTGAATATTGTTGTGTACGTATGGCAGCGCCTCCAGTGGCTGGAAGGGTCACGTGTGTTTCTTAATTGCATACAATTAATATTCGGATCTCAAAAAACAAAGTTGCGATACATTTTTTTTTCTTAAAGGAGTTGAACAAAAAACCCTTTAAAAGTAAGTATAAACAAAGCGTATACCAAGTGATGAATTCGTCTTTTTATTATTATTTTTCGTTTCGGGTTGAACGAATTCGATGATTGTTTAAGTAAAGGAAATCCAGGAAGCGCACACGTGTAATCTGGTGTGTCTCGACAGTCATCTCCACGATACCACGTGCTTCACGATACCACGTGCTTCACGATACCACGTGTTTCACACAGATTCACGATCCCAGTGAACTCCGTTGATGATCGATTAATTAGTTTAACACGTAATTGGCTGTGTCGGGTGGTGGCGGATTTAACGACACATTTATATTTACCCGATCTAACCCAAAAACCTCTATTATGAATCGATGAATTGTTACTGCTATCATGCATATCAAATTGAACACGGTCAATTTCCTGACCCAGCCAAGGAAATTCCTCTCTAGAATCCCGTCATGTTATTCCACATTTGATCGTGGAGGATTGTCATATGAACACGTGTAGGAATGGGTCAGTGGTATTGGTCAACTAGAACACGACACCCGCGAAAATTCACTGGGTCTTTAACGTGCATTGCCAGCAGACAGCACCCTTGCCTGGCAGATAAGCCCATTCATTACAACACCACCCAGAATGCTCCAGATCTGGCCATATCTCGAAATCTAAGCAGATCTCAGCCTGGATAGCGATTGAATGGATAACCACGACGCATAACAGTGTAGACATAGGCTGTGGTGAGCATCAGAGGGCAGTGTAGCGAAAAGCATTGTTGTACTATACTTCTATGCTCCCCTGCTGTACACATTCCGAGGAATTGTTCGTAGGTACCATAGGCTAATTACTACCGACACGAGAGGATCGTGTTCAAGCGCTAACTTACAATGCGGTAACGTTATTACACGGGATGGTAACGTAATTACCTAATTATTTCCAATTGTGAGCACTCTTTGCTCTCGCCGCTCTATAACGCTACGCTGTTCATGGCACATTGTAGAGAATTGACCTTTTGACCCCGGGTGGAGGTCGGGAGCGGCAGCGTGACGGGAGGCTGCAGGCAAATGCGACGTGCTCTGTGCAGGCAACACATGGCCCATTCACCCACGGGGGCACTCGGCGCATTCGTCAATAACGCCGTGGGCCAAATTATATAATAGGCGACGTTTCGTACAATGACCCTTCTTCATAGCACGTTTGCTCGAAAGGCCACAGAGTTAAATTTCGATTTAAAGCTTTCGTGACTGCAGGGATTCATCTTCTTGGTTCTTTCAGTAAAGTCACGTAGAATGGAAATAATAAAATAATAAAGATAAAACATAATAAAATAATTCTCACGACGTTTCGGCCACAACGCAAGCAGCCGTCCTCAGGTGGAGAACAGGTCTGTCGAGAAGACGGTGGAGAACAGGTCGAGAACAGGCCACAGACAGAGTCTCTGTCTCCCCGACAGACCTGTTCTCCACCTGAGGACGCCTGCTTGCGTTGTGGCTGAAACGTCGTGAGAATTATCTGACTTTACCGAAAGAACCAAGAAGACACATCTTCGTCGTTCGCGTTGAGCTGGGAAGGAGCTGTGGAGGCACGGTGGAGTGTGAAGTGAGCTGAAGGGTGTCTCATTCATAAGTGCGACAAAAGTAAACACACACGACATTATTTGCCGACGTTAATACGGAAGAAAGGATAAACTCGGGTCTGAAGATTAATGTTTGTGTTTCCTAGGCGTCAGAGGCGAGATCGCACGAGGCAAAGCACCGATTTAAATCGGTGGGGCCAGTCTCATCATAGCTGTCGATGATAATGCTGATGGAACTGGTGGCGGTTATATAGAGATAGAATACACGACAAAATCTGGTTAGAAACAAATGAGCTTGTTTTTAAAGGGAGACTTAAGATGAAATCATGATGATTACGATGAATAGACCGACAACAGCAGATATCTAAGTCACGTGGCTGTAAACATCAAATAAAAGGCGATCTAGACCAGCAGGCCATTTTTTCATAGCGAGACCTTGGCAGAGCCGTCCCTAGGGTACAAAGAATTGGGGTGACTGACCCGGGCCTCGCGCTTTGGGGGGCCCCACACCCCCCTCCGGATGGCCCTGGACCTGGGGTTCAATTGTGATGTTGATAATTCTGGACGGACTACGATAGGTGACTTTTGTTATCAGGTAAGAGACAATTCATACCAGGGGTTTCCTTTTCAACCAGCGACCTCCGATTGGCACGGTTGTCTACGTACGGCGCGCGAAAGAAGTTCACCATGAGGATGACCATGACATAAAACCGTGTTTCCCCTCGTTTCGCCCCCCCCCCCCCCCCACGCAGCTGCCGATCTCCTGCGCGAATTCTCCAACTACTACCAGGCCGGCTACCAGGAGTGCCTCAAGAACCTGGTGCACTACCTCACGGCGATCGAGCGCCTCGAGATGAAGGACTCGCGCTACCTCCGCGTCCTCGCCTTCCTCCAGGCCAAGGCTCGCCGCTCCTGCCCCGCGGGCCACCCGCTGGCGCCAGGGCAACCTTCGGCCCGCTGCCCCGAGCTGCCCGCCTTCGCCGGTCCGGGGACGTGCGGGGGCGCGGGATCCGGCATGGGCGGCGGAGGAGGAGTGCCCGAGTCGGCGGGCAGACCGTCGCCCCTGCACGGAGCTCGGAGGGCAGAGCCGTACCCCTGGCAGGCGGCCGCACCGCTGCCCTTCCTCCAGGCCGGCCAACAGCCTTATCTCAACTCGCCCGGGCAGCAGGGCTTCCTGTCGCCTGGGCAGCAGGGCTTCCTCAGCTCGGGGCAGCACTTTGACTGCGCCTACATGGGATACCTGAGTCCCCATCACGTGTCCTCGGCCGCCCGGGGCATTCCAAGCGGGCAGCACGTGTCGTTGTGATGCGCGTGTCAACTTCTGGGCCACCGCGAACATTTGCTCGTTTACAGGACTCGGCGACACCGATAACTCAAGTCTCATTTTGTCGAGAGGAGCCTGCTGTGGGAGACTTGTTAGTTTTCCGTTATTTGCCGATTGTTTGTGTCCTTTGGTATCGGACGCGAGACCAGATTAGTACTGTAGCATGACAAAGAACGGTGTTGCAAACATCACCCAACAGATAAGCCAGCGGCGACCTACTTACCACACTGCCCACCATATGGGTGCCTCGCTGTCCTCCAAGTGGACGTCTCCATCTTTTCGTGATCCTCCAACCATATCTTCATATTGCTGGATTATAGGCGTGCATAGCTACCACCTTCAATGGCATTATCTATATGTATATATATGTGTATATATCAAGATGGACTACTTGGCTGATGCTGATGATAAATACGGAGACACTTGATTTTCAAAGGGCCCAGTATGTGTGTGTATACGTCTCACTGCTGAAAGCTACTTGGCAGAGCACATGGTTTGGTTTCTAAACGATTCCGTATTGATAATGCAAATGCATTAACTAAGTGATTGTATATATTTTTTGCTGATATTTGCGTGCAAAATAAAATACTCGCGCCCACGGTATTTTTTTCGTCCAATAAAATGGAATTACTTGTTGATGGACGCGTCTGCTTCGTTTGATTGGAGTATGTGTACGGTACATTTTGAAATTAATGTAGACACTTGTGCCAGTTCAGTGCGGATTTCGTGACGGTGAGGGGAGAAAACGAGCTGCTACCGCTTCAGGCATCACTCGCTGACTCACGCTAGCCGCGGCCGGTGAATCGAACTCATGTCGCGAGGTTCAAAGCTTGCAATGATCTGAGCAGAGAGATCATCGCGCTGATAACCCCAGAAGTAAAGAGACTCCATTGTTTGCAATCCGCGAGCTGACGAATATCATTAATGCCCTTACTAATGATTATTGTTACAAAAAAATAGCATACTACTATAACACAGATTCTTGGTGCTATCGGTAAAGTCACGTAGAAGGGAAACAATTAATTAATAAAAATATAAAACAATAAAATATTTTTATATTTTTATATTTGAACAATAACATATTTTTATGTTCTATATATATTTTTATTTTATTGTTTCCCTTCTACGTGACTTTACCGAAAGAGCCAAGAATATGAATCCCTGTAGTCCCGAAAGCTTTAAATGAAAATACTATAAAACATTTTTTGTTCTACCAGTTAAGGATCGACCGAGCTATATACATGTCTTTTTCAGAAGCGACCTGTCCACAAATGATAGCTCAACGAAGTGGCTTACCACGTGGAAATGTATTGCAGCCAAACACTCTAGACACGTTTCTAAATGTGGAGGAGAAAATCGGAGCACCCGGATAAAAAAATCCACGCGACCACGGGGAGAACACGCCAACTCCAAATATACACCAGGCGTCAGGGTCGGGATCGAACCCACGACGTTACGTAGACCAGGCGAGGTAGTAGGCTGTGTGTGGCGGGATATATAAACTTTTAGGTTGAGGTGTAGATGTGTGCAGTAGTTTCAGGCTGCCGCGTCCGCCGCAATAAGTTATAATGTGACGTTGTAAGCCTCATTTTGGCGCCCCTTTACCTTGGCGCCCGGGGACACGTGTACCCCCCTGCCCCCCCCCCTAGCTACGCCTCTGAGTACCTTTACTCCGCACTGTCAAGAGTAAGCCGAGTAATGAGTCACCATTCAGCCGTTCCCGGACCAGATTGTTCGTAACCAAACCGAGTCACGATTCGATTGAATAGTCAGTCAATTCCAGTCTCCATCGTAACGTCCCTCTCACTGGCAGTATGTTTGATCCGTCACGTTCGTGCCATTGGCCTAGGGATAACAAGAATGGATGTTAATCGGTTAATACATTATCCGTAGACGGTTACACGTCTCTTGGTGGTTAGGTACGGTGGTCGCCAAACTGAGCCTTGCATTCTGCGAACTGAATTCGATTTTCGTCCACGGCTAACCTCAGTGGCGAGTGAGAATCTTGTCCTGTCCATCAGTGGGTACTGAGCCGAGTGGTGAAATAGCCACCCACGAACGACAGAGCGCGGGGAGTCCTTTATCCATGCATCGATAGATTGCCAATGCCCTGTACGTTATTAAATACGAATTTCACGGAATTCCCATACAGATAGTAGGGACACTTGGCACAACGCATGCACACCGATGCGACGTTACGCCTGGGATTGCTGCTGAAATATGTGGTGTTGGCGAGCACATTTTAAATGTCAGATTATAAGACACACGAGGAGGAGTGGCAGCCACCACCACCACGTATGGCTGGGCGCCTTTAAATGATCAGTGCTGGTGAAGCCCACACCACCACGTGAAGAGACTCATTGGAGGCTGAGTTGACTTAGGGAAGGCCCAGGTCAAGTTCGAATGCTGTTTTGCAGTGGAGAATAGAATAATAACTATACAATTAAAATTTAACATTGCCAATGGTTCCACGAGCATCAGCAGAATGTGCATTAATGTTGTTGCTGAGAAGGTTTTAAACATTGGTGCAGTAGGCCGATGGGTTTTTGAAAACTACATTTTATTTGATTTAGGTCGCTCCACGGACTATGATCTATTATCCACATTCCTTCACGACAGCGCATATTTTTTACACCATCTTTGCTATACTGCCCACAGTGTTGATGGACTGGCCTTTCCTAAATCATCAGGCAACTCAACAGGCCCGCAACCTGCTGATGAGACTCAGAGAAGTCGAAACGCTCCAGGGGTTGCCTGCTCAACGCGGTTGGGTACGTACGGTGCGAAAGAAGTTCAACATACATGCCTACATTAGACAAATGCTGCTGGCAGACATTGGCCCAGAACACCCGTACGTTGATAGACCATAACGTTTTCATGCCATTTAGTATGTACGTGAAGTGCCGTTACTGCAGGGGTCGGGGAACCTTTTTGACTGGGAGAGCCATAAAAGGCAAATATTTCTAAATGTATTGCATTGAGAGCCTTACAGTATTTTTAACGTGTAATAAATTAAATATGTCTTACTTTTAATGCGACTTCTTGTGCTGCATGGTTTTGCTGATGACCTTGTAGTCTGGTTCGTACGTGGTGAGGTTGAGCTTCATGCAGGCGTTGAGGCCCCGTGACCCGAGAAATTTTATCTTCAAAACTAATTTCTGTTTACTTTAAAATGACACAGTATTATTAAGCAATATCACAAGTATTTTAAAATCAGTTCCAAACTGATTTTTTTATTTTATTTTTTTCAACTCAAAATTGTCTGGGAGCCATATGCCGTCACCGGAAGAGCCATATATGGCTCGCGAGCCATAGGTTCCCGACCGCTGGTTTACTGTGACGCAGCATTGCTCATTTATACATCACAAAACGCAAACTACAGCTTTCTCAATCCGACGCCGGATGATGGCCTCCCCACGGCGTGTGGGTCACGCGAGTTGTTTAACCATACTTCACCACGCCGGTTAGAGGCTGGTTGGTGAAGGAACGGGTGTGGGTGGTGGCCAGGACAAGTTCAGACATAACTCGCCACCGCTGTTTGGCCGTGGCCTAGAGACCCACTCGGCTGACCGTCGAGTTCACAGCATAGTGCGCTAAGTACTGCGCCACCGCTCCCAAATGCGCTCGTTTAATCTCTTAAGATATTTCATTAAAATGCACGACGCACGCGTTTGGCCAGGGCACACTGCTAACAACGGAGAAGTGTGGCTTTTGGGAAAGGGGACCGGATTTGGCACTGGGACACAAACACAGGGCCGCAGCGTCTCCGAGTCTCCGCATCACTCTTCTCCTGCTCCTCCACCACCACCACCAACCACCACCACCACCACCACCACCACCAACCACCACCACCATCACGCCGCACATGCAGAGTCCACTAATGAGCGACCATGAATAAGTTAACGCTGTCCAGCGTCGGTGTGAACGCGCAAACTTTATTTCATTCAACGGACGGGGAGGAAAACCTTTGTCATTAAAACACACATATTTGTACCGTTTAAATACATTGTTCTCTATTAAAGAGAGGCTAAAATCTGTCGAGAAAGGCGAAGCTTATTCCTTTCTGTGCACGAAGAATGGTGGGCTGAAAGCCTTGGAGGTAGGAATTAGGGCTGCCTGTGTAAACAGGCCGCTTCTGCGGAGGCTCGCAGATCACCACCCTTTGAGGATAGGCGTCTTTGTGGCGCTGTAACTGTCTCCGCCTGTAGCCAGGGAACTGGGCGCTTCTGAAAGGACCACCAGAGGGAAAAGGGCTGCGACCCTACAAACAATCGCTCCGGTTTAGCCACGGGGGGTGAGCTGAGGATCCCGAGTCTACACCACCCCCACCACCACCACCACCCCATCCCGTCCTCAGCAGAGGCCGCGGCGGTGCTGTCGTGACCACCTACATATAAATAATCCAGCCTACGGGACAATGCGAGGCCGGGTTTTTATGGTGGAATCATTGACTCTTTGTCATGATGGCACATCGGACATGCATGCCTGCCTGGATGTGTTTCACACACACACACAAAAAACGGAAAACTTTATTCGCTTTGTTAACTTTTGTAGCTTGGGATTTTGCCGAGTAATTGATGTATTATAAATTAAGGGGATGTCACTGCCATTTGTCGCACATGCATTCTTTCATTCATGTATGTATGCGTGCGTGCGTAGCATGAATGTATGTCCACGTGTGTTGTGTGTGATTAGATATTGTTTCTTCATAGTCAAACAGGGCTTGCTAAATTTTGATTTAAAGCTTTAGTGACTGCAGGGATTCATATTCTTGGTTCTTTCGGTAAAGTCGCGTAGTCGAAACGTCGTGAGAATTTTTTATGATTTTATATTTATATTATTTTATTATTTCCCTTATACGTGATTTTACCGAAAGAACCAAGAATAGGGCTTGCTAAGTAATTGATTTTAAACACTCCCACCACATTATAGTGGCCGTATACGCATACGTGCTTGCGTGAATGCACGTGTACACACCACGTGTGAGCAATTCTCATTTACTTGTGTGGTCAGGAAGGGTGCAATGCAGCTCAATTATCCATGTTCACGAGTGATGATTCCTTCGCATATTTGGCCACGTGTGATGAAACGCAGCTGTCATATTGGTAACGTTGTAACACTTACTCGGAAACCATATGAATAAGGAATATAATCAAATAATAAAAATAATGGAAATAATAATAATAGAAATAAAATAATCTCTTGGAATTGTGCCTCACTTGATACAGTAAATTTAGCTGTGACGGTCCCACCTGATGACGGAGACTTGTGTTGCCTCCGAAACTTCGTGATTTATTACGTTATTTCTATAATTTTTTTTACCAAACTAACTTTACCGAAAACACCTAAGAGTATGAATCCTTGCAGTCACGAAAGCTTCAAATCTAGAATATAAGTAAGCCCTGCTCTGCTACATCGCTCGAATCTCATCCAAAACCGGACGTCCAGCAGCGCAATAAACACTGCGCGTGACGCAGGA